TCAGTAACTTATTTGTCACATCAGTGACATCCAGATTATTATCAACGTCATCATGATTCCGTTCTGTCAGACAAGTCGCGTCGATTCGGTCTGCACTAGCATCCGTAGAGTGGAACTCTTCCATTGTTGTATAACTCATATCACTACATGAAAGAACAGCATTAGTATCGCAATTCGAAACTGATATACTCACTTGTTGTTCTTCATGTTCCGTTTCAGAGACACAAGACATATGCTCATCAATAGCATCGTTATCATGCAACACTGTAGATTGGTTGTTACCATCAGACACTTCCTTCTCATCATCACTTGACTGACAGTCAACCGATGTAGGAACACTTACAGTTACACAACCTTGTGTATCCTCAATCAGCATAACCTTCGTGACGAGGTCCGATGACGTCGAAACACTAGGAGGCTCATTCGATGAAGTTGATAGACTAGTCACTATAGGTGGACTGCTGACACTTTCTGTCTCCTTATTATCACTGTCACTACTAAGATTCTGATGACTACTATTTCCATTGCTAGTCATAGCATCCGAAAGAGAATGATGTTTAGGCTTCCTTATAATAGTAGCATCATCTTGTTTCCTAGGCTTCTTAGCCTTTACAGTACCGCCATCACTTATCCTAGAATTAACTCTAGGTCCCGATATATAATTTACCCTAAATGAAGGGTTCCGAAAATAGGCTTTATTCCGTCCAGACAATCCTGCCTGGGCCTTATTCATATTTACTGAACTCATTAACCTCTGATTACTCGAATCCAAATAACCGTTCCAGGCTTTTCGAGCAGCTAAGAGGCTTTTATCATCACACACTTCGGATCCATCTTGATGCCTACACTTTTCACCTTTTTCTTTCTTTTCTATACTTAGAAAAGCCATCTTATCTGTTACACCAACCGGCTTCTTACTAGGGTACGTATCAAGAGGCTTTACATCGTTACGGTCACGTACTCGTCCTTCATCAGCGTATGCTTTCGTGATATAATTGACAACTCTCTTATCTTCCGGGCGTGCGTTAGATAGAAACGAAAAATCCTCATGTCTCGCACGCAGACCACTAGTAGCTTCCGTATTATGTCCTGTTTTAGCCCGATAAGCTAATCTTCCGAACCTACTACTAGCTATCTTAGCGCGAGACATAATAAATTCCGTCAGCTCATTGAAATTAGGCTCTCTCTCCTCTTCGTCCCACTTGATTCCCAGCTCTGCCCACTGGGCTTGCATTCGACGAGGTAAGAGCCTGACTATTCGTTCTAAAGTAACCAAGGAATTAAGTTCCGTTGTGCAATTTAGCTGTTCTAAGGTTAAAGCAGCATTCTGCATTTTAATAGCCAAATTCGTCAACTCTTCAGGATCATTAAAATCTGCGTTCCCGGTTCTAAATAAGTCCTCTAAGGTTTCCCGGGCTATTACATGCGACTGTCCAAAGAGCTGTTTTAAGATGGCCTTAGCTCTCTTATATCCCGCTTGTGGATCCAGTATAATACAACCTTCAATCGCATTTTTTGCCCTTCCTTTACAATAGTGAATTAAATACAATAAACGCAAATTATCATCTTTTATTCTGGGTTCTATGAACGTTTCTGTTTGGCGCATAAATCTAAAGTTGTCGCGAGACTTTCCATCAAAAAATGAAAGTTTGACCTTAGGTAGTTCTAAACCTACTATCGGTGTCTTAAGTATCTGATCCGTCTCTGGTATCTTAGAACTCTCACCTAATCCTGGTTCCTTAATGCCTGCCAAAGGTGACTTACAATAATAAGTATCAGACATAACATCAGTGTTAACATAGTGGTTACCCATTAAAAAATCATCATTAACGACTTGCCTAGCATTTCGGGATACGTCAAGCTCTTCCACCCTCCTCGTGTTTGTTTTCTTGCGACTTGACATTATAAGTGAAGTTCAACGGAAGATAAATAACAAATACAAAATATAGGAATTCCACAGATAAGTTCAATAAGAGATATCCAAAATCAAAAAATCGTCATCCAAAATACAATTCGAATACGAAAATACGATAAATAATCCAAGAGTCTTCTATCAAGAAGTTTAGTGTTATAAACGATTAAATCTCCAAATGTTTCTTTATTCTTCTTAATAATCCAACCGTAATTGGTCTTCTAATGAAAAGTAATGGATAATTCCAGAATATAAATGTTCTTAGGAATAATTCCAGACTGTAAATGGATTTCTACGGTGGCAGTTCCAATGGGCTCCAATAGGTGCACTCCTGTACTCGTTTCTCCCAATCCCTGGAACAACCAAATCAAAAAAGGACAAAAATTCTAGGAGAAAGCGGTCTTATTTAATAAAGACATGGAAATACAAAGCATTACCTGGAATTAATGCTCCTTCCAGGATACAATTACTCCGAAGAGTATCAGAAACAACGATAGATAAGTGACGTTAAGTCCAGCGGCCACTGTATCAATCCAAATATGGCTGTAGCCATATTAAAGATCAAATTTAAACAACATATGTACAGATCAGAAGCAAACACAAAAACTTCAATATAAGTACAAAATATAGAAATAATAACAATATACAATGATAAAATCTCAAATTGGAATCAAATAAAATACCAAAAATGCCAACAGAAAAAGTCCGTCATGTCATAACAAAAATATGTAAACATGGAGGGATTTTCCAAAAAACAAAACATTCAAAAAGGATTCTACAGTAAGCCATATCAGATTTGATACCCTGGTGGGTGAAACTTGAATCTGGACTTGAAGGGTGCAATTTTGGACTTCTATGGAAGCATTCTTGCAGAAATGGACACACATTGTGTTCAGCTAACGATATACACCTTTTAAATAATAATAGAACCATTTCTTACCCAGATAAATTGCTTTCTTGTTGGATTAACTGGGAAAGGCGCGTATCTAACTTCTACAACTGTTCTGCCGTATTAAGAAATCATTCAAAATCCCCTACACCATATCATGAAGAACAAAGAAGATATGCACTAACTAACGAACTTGATGTCACTGATAGTTACTAACCATATCATTTAGAGTCACCATACAAAATTCCTCCATTCTGGATAGTAAATTACGGTCATCGAAATTGGCCTGATTCTGTATGCTATCTAATGGTATCTGGAACTCTCTCGGTCCCACTATGGTAGTTATATATTGATCAATACTCAAAAAATTAGACAGAACTCTCTGAGCACATTCAAAAGAAACATAATTAGAATTTAAATTAGCGACCGAATAATGTACAACCATGATCGTATATGAGCATCACATAAATACACTAACAGAGTGGAATGTTTTGATCTATATTAAAAAAATAGGTATCATAGCGATTCATTACATTTTCAGCGCCATCGAATATTCGGCAGAACATACAAGTTTTGGTTCAAATATCAGACTTAAGAGCACATCAATAACTGTCAGCTGTGGTAGAGTTTGCTGTTCATACTTCTGGTTTGTAAGTTAGATTTCGGGTTGGTGGAGAATATTTATAATCATCAGGACAGCTACCCAGGTAATGGCTGAGAATTTTCAATGACATAATTCTTATTGAGCTGTATGCTGATGATCTTGTCACGAAAGTTAATAAAGGCTTCGTTTTTATACCAAAGAACAGAATGTTCCCCAAAAATGGGCTAGCTAAACTGTACGCAATTATCTAACTCTATAACGACAGTCATGTTTTGGAATCAGTAACCCTCTGAGGAGATCAAGGAGCTACCAATAGAGTGATGTGAATGGAGACGCCGAAATCTCTTTGTAAGTTTGTACGAAAACGTATGAAAAATAAATTTTGGGCTATTAGTTCCTTCCGGTGGACACTGGTGATCTATCATTTCCAGATTTAGTATTTTATTAAATGGAAGTTTTTTAGAATGACCTGAACCGTTTTAAACCATCTAGCGCGGTTTCTCGTTAAGAGCATTCTGCTGAACGTGACACGAATGACTTAAACACTCGATGGAATTACGCTCCTTAACGTCTCGGGGCACGATCTCGGTCTAAAAACCACAGAAATCCAGATGCCGATTTGAACTATATAGGGGACGCACCAAGGCTAACTAATCACTTTTCTTCTCGCTAAGACAACTTAGTGCCCATGATTAATTCTTGTCGTCGTTTAAGACGTGCGCACCACAACGCCTTCAGCTTCATAACGTCGTTGCAGCCCCTCTCGTTAAAAGAGACTTAAATCTCTCGGGTCGAATTGAGGGACGAGCAACAAAATGGATGATAGGGTTGAAGAATAAGCCTTATGAGGACAAAATCCAGCACCTATGGTTGTTCTCGTCGAGTTAGAGAAGATTCAGAGGTGATTTGATAGTGGTGTACAACATATTAAGTACACCGAGTCGGCCCAACGTAAGCATCTTTCCGAAGCATCACCGCCACTCCCCTCGAGGTAATCATTGAAAACTTGCACATCAAGGAGCGAACTCCCAGGTTCGTGCACACTTTTTCGCATTAAAGGTCGTTGCAACTTGGGATGCTTTCCAAGACGAGGCGGCCACAACCCCTTCAGTGGACAGCTTTAAGAAGAGACCTGATAAACAAGTGCTCACGAACTATCACTAAACTCTTGGACCGGTTGTGCTTGAACTATGTATTGAAACTTGCTGGTTGGTATTGTTGCCATTAGCTAAGATTGCTAACCTAGTCTGTCTCGCTTAATATCTCTGATTCCTTCTCCTCGCTTACATTTTGGACAACCCCCATAATCTTCATTACCAATTTATTCATTTTTTTATCCATTGATTTACTCAGTTCTGTAGTCTTATTGGCATAAGAACTTTCTCATGATTATTCTCTACATTTCAAGTAACTGATCTCCGGCCAAGTGACGTGATAGATGCTGGTATCTAAAAAACCTACTCCCCTGTAACAAACGTACTAACTCGAACCCCGGGACATAAAAACTCAAACTACTGCCAACTGACTGGAATCAGGCAGGCGGGTGGAAATACGGAATACGTAGAACCGTACCGAAAGAACAAAAATTGAGTGAAAATAAATCAATGGGTTCATAGCGGAAAAAAATTGAATAGTGAAAAAAGTGGACTTACAACAGCTCGTGCCGCCCTATTTAATCTCGACTGTTTGAGCGCGATTACTTGTTTGGCACGCCGTGTCGTAGCAACTGTCTCTATCTGCTTGTACTTCGGATTTCTTTAAACGATGGCTCTTCATATTCCAAAGGCTCCAGGATTCATGTCGATGCTCAAAGAAGGTGCTAGGGTAGATTGTCAATATCCCTACATACTTTTAAGTATTTCGAAGGTTTAGAGGAGGCAGTGTACCGTAATATTGAGGCATGCTTGGGACTCTCAAAATCTGTCCGGTCAACATTTGGACCTTCTGGGCAGAACAAAATTGTCATAAATCATGTTGGTCGGTTGTTTGTGACGAACGATGCAGCTACAATATTGAAGGAACTCGAAGTTGCACATCCTGCTGCTAAAATACTTGTTATGGCATCTCAACAACAAGAACAAGAGGCCGGAGATGGCACCAATATTGTATTTCAGCTTGCTGGAGCACTTTTAGAGCAGGCTCGAGATCTTCTGAAAATGGTATGTTTTTAATTTCAAAGGTAGTAACACAATCAGGGTCTTTCAGTTGCTCAGGTCACCAGTGGATACGAAATGGGATGCAAAAAGGCCTTGGAGATTTTAAATGGTAATTGGGATTCCCTGTTTGATTTTTCACTGATAGAACTGGTGGTGGAAGACTTACCTGACGTGCGATGTTATGAAAAAGTTTTACGTGTTATAAGGACAGCTGTTATGAGTAAACAAGTTGATCTTGCTGATTTTTTGTCCGAACTTATTACGAAAGCATGCAGTAAGTACAAAACTTACTTAATCCACTTTCTTAGTCGAGACTTTACCACAAAAATCACATTTCAATGTTGATAATATACGCGTATTGAAAATTTTGGTAAGTCGTTTGACTTTTCCCATTCTTTTCTTGTCTTCATATAAACCCCAACTTTTTGAGTATACAGTCGTAAGTATTTAAATGCTTACAGTTAAGAGTGCGTTTTGTACCCATGTAGTCTCAGTTTCATTAGCTTAACTTCATGAAAGTAATTTACGTATGATTTAGAAAACAAAATATCTTCAAAATAAACTGCAGTCCTGACAGGTTTTATTCTTTGTGGTGTAAGTATGTGGGTTAACTAAAGCACATCACCAAACGTTACGACTAACGTGATTAGTGTATTGGTGCGTCACTGCTTTTATTACCCCCAACCAGATACTGTAAACATGGCTCATAATCGTTCGCAATGACGCAGGTGCATCCACTATGTGTTCTCTCAAATTCTAATCTGTTTTCGTCAATACCTCTACCTTTGTCTTTCTAAAGTTATGTCACTGAATTATATTTCTTGAATATTATCTCCAAATCCTTGTCTCCATTGGCAGTCATTCTTCTGCTATCTTTACCACCATGTGATTTGAATTGACGTTCACGTCTCTGTGCTAATGTAGTAGGGCAACATGAACTAATGTACTTACGTACGGGGCTTTACGTTGTAACTGATTGACTGCTCCTAAATTTCGTCAAATACCAGAACTAATGAGACTCCTAAGATGAATGGATGCAAAAAACCCCAGAGCAGCGTTTGGCATTTCGAGGTAAAAAAAACCAAGTTTTAAAAATGTATGCATTGTTGCTTAAGGTGGTCGAAAAATCGCATTATGTCAGAGCTTTAAAACAGGCCTATTTCATCTGTTTGATCAAAGATAATAAGTGAATCTCCTAGCAGGTCAGTTCTTAGGAAGTCAAATAATGTGTTGACTTCAAAAGTATGTCCATGGCAAAGTTGGACAAAATGGTAAAAGCAAGCAGCTTTAATAAACATCACTTAAGGTCATCGCTCTTGATAACCTTCGTCATTAGCTCTGACTACTACTGTTCAAGTAGAAAATTTGTACAAGGTTAATCGTACCCCTCTTCACGACAGTCAGTCTTACAATCAGCAGACTCATACTCTGTCTTAAGGTAAAAGAATCTAACCGTTATCGTATTTCGAGAAGTATCTGTGTTATGACCTGCGCAGGGTGAATATTTGGTCTTAACACTCACGTCCAGGTCTGTGAATACCCAGTTTTCTTGAGGTCGCTCTTCGCAAGTTCTAACTGGGTGCCGTTTTATTGTTTAGGTTAGTATTTTCAGCCTGAGTAGTGAAACTAATTTCTCTGGTTATGACAAAAGGAGTTTTGTCAGTTCTAATAGACTAAGATGGTCAGCAATCAAGACCAGTCAGATTGGATTGTGTCAAGTGTTCGGATTCTAGCTAAGATGTCAATCCAAATGCTAATATAAGACAACCTTCCTGAAACGGTTTCAAAGTTTAATCGCTTAGATTGTTCATAGCCTTTTGTACTTCTCCAAGCTTTGAAGGACTTACATCAATTTGCCATTCAGTCAGCCTATAGATTAGGTAGCTGAGGTGTGGCTTCAGGTCAGTGATCTGCCCATTAGTTCGATCAGCGACTGTCTGATGCGATTCTGCTCAGGTAACCGTTCATATCTAACAAGCACTTGCTTTCAGTATGGAAAAAATATGTTTTGACATGGCAGCTGCTTACAGTTAACCCAACAATAATCTCAAAAAATCACAGCATCAGTCTCCGTTAAAGCTAATCGATGGGAGACAGCCGCTCATTTCGTAGCACCTGTTTAGACTCGGGTCATGATCGAGTGCGAGCATGTATTTGTCTCAAGTTTACTAGATGTAAGAAAGACATGAGAGAGTAAATCGCAGGAGCGACTAGAGAGTCGTTTAGGCAGTTTGGAATGTTACCCAAAAAGCACTGATAACTGCCAGTAAGGTTAACCATGAGGTTAGGGAGAAGCAGTGGATCTCAGTATCATCTACCAAACTAATTGATGCTCGGAAACTCATCCCACCTAGTTCTCAACATGACTAAGAGCAAAGTCAGCTTCAGGTTGATTAGGAGCCTGCGCAACAATCGCAAACTATGTTGGCTAGCGAAAGCAAGAGAAATGAGGAAGGCAGCGGTCGTGGGTAACAGTGAACAACTATTAGGAATAACCCTTCAGATTTATAAGGATGGTGATCCAGTTTTTGCAGTTCGGTTGACCAAGATCTTAGGTAGATTTCGGTAACTAGGCGTTATCCCATCTGACTGGTCTCAATTGCTGATTATCCCAATTTATAAGAAAGGACAAAATCCTCTTGTGACAATCACAGAGGAATCAGTTTAACTAAAATATTGGCCTTGATAATACACCGACGCCAAACTAGAACTTTTGAAGAACATACTAGCGAAAACCAGGCTGGTTTTCGACCTCGAGGTGTATGTATGTACCACGTATCATAGACACGTTCAAACGTCCCGAAAAACTAATTTTTGACCTCAGAGCGGCATTTGACTGTATCGATCATGAGGTTCTGTGGCATTGTGTGTCATTTAGAAGAGTACCAAAAATTCAATTAACCTTATAAAAGCTCTCTATTCGAACACTACTGGTCGAGTCAGAGCTTATGGTGAACTGATTACTTCAAGTGGTGCTGGTCAGGATTGTTCGGATGCTCCCTTTTTAACTTATTATAGAAATGCTTTTAGAGATGACACTTTCATCGTTGGAATTTTCAGGAGTTAACCTTCTACCAAGAGATTCGCTTATTGACTCAGAGTATGTCGACGACATATTTCTACCACGTGAAAACTAACAAAATGCATAGGCTTCAGGCCACCCTAGGAAACAATGTAAGAATGTTCGGAATGCGATGTATCCGTTCCGAATGCAAAGTATGGCTTCAGGATTTGCTCGCATCTGCGCCTGAACTGGTGTTATGGAATGAAATATTTGAGCGTGTTGACCGCTGCACTTAACTTATGAATCTCTTCAGTGCCGATGGCCAGATGACCACCGAAATCGCAGTACATACAGAAAGCCTAATCGGTTTTTGTGTTGCTTATGACGTTGGCGGGATATTCGTCTGCTTCGTAGCGGTTCGCTCCATCCTACCATACGGGTGTGCTAGAATGATTTTTGAAAACTGCTATGTATATTGACGTGTCACATGTAGTACCTTTGACATAAATTCCAATTTGTTGTAAAGGGGTTTTATCAGTAAATACGTCTTTCTTGTCGATTGCTCATTTCCTCATACGTTAGATACCTCATTAAATTTCTTGTAACGCAGGACTCCCTATTTGTTTCAATTAACATGAACTACACACGGTGGCAAATGCAAACGATGACAAAAGTTCCTTACATTATATTACCTTGTCGCATTTCAGTTTCATCTTGATTGTTTTGTTGTGATACAGATCATACTGAATCTCAAATGATTTTATATTTCACATACATGTTCCGGTATTTCACTCTGATTATCCGTTTTACCAAATAACTCACCAGGGTGCTGGTGTCAATCAATCAAAAATGATTAAAGGAATGGTGTTTCGACGGGAAACTGAAGGAGAGGTAAAGGAAGTTTTCAATGGAAAAGTTGCAATTTTCTCCTGCCCTGTTGATGCTCTTCAAACAGAAACAAAAGGCACAGTTCTACTTACATCTGCAGACGAACTCACTAAATTCAGTAAAGGAGAGGAAGACCTCATGGAAAAAGTAAATGATTTCCTTTTGTCTTTATTTTCGTGAAGTTGTCAACTTTAGTATTTTAACTCAAAGTATTAATTATATATGAAATTTAGAAAGTATACTACTTAGTTTAATAGATACTACAATTCGAACCATATAATTTGTTGCAAACAATACAATTCGCTTCATTTATTCCCTCCGAATGTCTGTTTTCACGCAAAATTTGCCCGGTTTACTTAACCACAAAATATTGTGATGCAAATAACATACTCCAAACTGTCAACCACATACGAAAAAACTGCGTCTACCATTCCATTTTAGATCCGTTGTTTTATTTATTTCCTTACAATTTCTATATCTTATTAGCACCATAAACTGTGGTTGGAAGTTACGATTATCATTTTATGCAACCTACTAACTTGTCACTGATGTTGTTTCTTCAGCACATGCGTTCTCTTTCGGATGCTGGAGTAAAAGTTATTGTTAGTGGGGGCAAAGTTGGTGAACTGGCACTACATTATGCCAACAAATTGAACATGATGGTAGTAAAGCTCAGTAGCAAGTTTGATGTTCGACGTCTGTGTCAAGCAACTGGCGCTTCAGCTCTCCCTCAATTAGTGACTCCTACCCCTGAAGAACTTGGACATATTAGTCATGTTTATTCAGACGAAATAGCTGACGCAAATGTGGTAATCTTTGAACAAGGTGAGTTTATTGAAACGTTCTCTGTAATTTCAAGAAGTTCCTCGAGTTACTATAGTTACGGCTAACAATTTATGTTTCTAATTTATAACAGACACACATGAGGGAACTGTTGTTACTTTATTGGTCCGAGGAAGTACTGAAAATATAATGGATGACGTTGAGCGTGCGATTGACGATGGTATCAACACATTCAAGTGCCTTACACGCAGCCCTAAGTTGGTTGCAGGTGCCGGAGCGACAGAAATAGAGTTGGCTCGCCGTCTCGTATCGTACGCTGGTACGGTGCCTGGTCTTGAACAATATGCTATCAAAGCATTCGCACGGGCATTTGAAGTTGCGGTAAAAGTACTTGCCGAAAATGCTGGACAGAAGGTTTGTGATTATACTTTAACATATTTGTCAAATTTTTACTGCAAGATTATAAAAAGCTAGTATCACGATAAATGCCCTGTAATCTTATCTGTTTTCGCCTAATTGAGCATATCAATAATCGTATTCTGTATATAAAGGTACTTTATTTACAAATGACAATAATGACATGTGTTTTAAATCATTCTGAGCGGCTAGCATAACACTTATTCTGAATGACAGTCGTGGTATTTTTGTCGAGCGAAACAGCTGTCCGGTGCTTCCAGGTTTCTGGTGGTTGTCCAACTTAGATCAGTTCATGATTTCAGTAACACTTAAATATCTCCACAACAACAATCACTTTAAATCTCTTTTTTTTATAAGATAACCGAAATAGTTGCTGTTTTGTACGCTAAACATGAATCTGGACAAATATATACTGGTCTAGTCACTCAACCAAATGGTAAAGTATCTGTTGATGATTCTGTCAAATTCGAAGTTTTGGATCTCCATCTTTTAAAACACTGGGCTATCCGACTTGCAACAAACGCTGTGAACACTATACTACGTGTCGATCAAGTAAGCATTAAATAATGAATTGTCACATGTATGTGAATGCATTAATCCATTGAATGCTAATTTCGTTACTAATAACTACATTTGTAAAGGTTTTAATGTTTTTATTTGAAGAATCTACGCTCTTACAAAAACCTAGTGTTTTCGCCTAATATTTTTTCCTGAGTTTAGAATAGAGATTTGATTTGTCGTTATTTATATTTGTAAAAATAAGTTCAAAGCAATGAGTGTTGATCACTAGAAAGTTCTGAATACCCAATTAGCCGTATTCCTCTTTCTGTCTTCCTTAAAAGTCATCATTATTACGACTTTGTCAGAAACATCTTAACAGCTACGTACACAGTCATATTATTCTTCAAGCAATACATCTCAGTTTTCTGTTGTATGATCGCTATTAATGTATCAAATTGATCCGTCAATAACTAGTAATCTTTCTTCGATTATTAAAGACTATGTACTGCACCATGTGTGTGAGGCTACCGAAATACTATTAGTTGACGTATATCGGATTTGGGATTTCCTGGAGTTTATTCTGTCTCTCTCTTTAGTCTAAACCTGTTTTCTAACTAGTTTTTTCGGGAAACTTTTCAGATCATTATGGCACGCCCAGCTGGTGGACCGAAACCTCGTCAACCCGGAGCTGTGGATGAAGATTAATTAATATCACATTAGGTTTCTAACTGCATTTGTTTGTACGGTTGGCTGCTCGATTGTCTTATTGTGTTCTGTATTTCGAATAAAATAATGTTTGACAAATCTTTTTTTTTCATTATCTTCAAACGGTTCACTACTTTACATCTACCTAAAGCATGACTGTTTGAAAATTTACGTAAACTTATTACGCTGTGTTGTACTATATTAAGGGTAATTGTTACATTAACGTAGGTTGAACACATTAGTTATGCAACAATAATATTATTGACGGAGAGTGGTGAAGAATTCTTCATAACTAAATGAATCACGGCTAAATGTGGTTATATTCATGCTTGTTCGAATAGTCGGATTTCGGTTTTACCAATTTGACTTACGTAATCTCATTTTTCGCATAAGAACAGTACGAATAACAGCCTGTTCTCTAATGTTTTGTAACCATCAATCTCATTGTTATATTCACTATGTCTTGCCTACGTTAAGAAAAGTTTGTTTTTGTACACAGTTATTATGAATTGCGTGATATTTTACATTATCATTCTGAACAATAATTACCAAACGTTGGTATTATAATTAGCTGATCACACAAGTGACGTTAGGGAACCTATGCTGTGACTAAACAATCACTAGTACTTACAAAACTTATGTTTTCCAATATTATTCAGCAATCACTCCATTTGCATATCTGTATAAGTTATGTGTGTTTGGTTGAATTTGTTGATGAGCTCGTTGACCTTATCATGCAAAAAATTGTCATTTCTAAGTCTTCATTCTTATTTGTTTCATAAATCTCGGTTCTTTTTTGTTCAAAGATTCAAACTGACGCTGTTGTGTTGGGAATCACATTACTAATTTTGTTAATCTTCTGTCTTATACATGTACGCAGACAGTAACTCAAATTTTGATGACAGTTCTTATCAAGGATATGAAGTTGTGGATTCTGCAGACGATTCAGATGAACCGATCGATCCTGAATTTATTAATCTTTTAGAAGATCTTGAAGGTAATGAACATGAAAGCATAGATCTGTACTCTGTTTTGGGTGTTGATAAAAATGCATCGTCAGCTGATCTGCGCGCGGCATACAAACGTCTCTCTTTGTTGTTTCATCCGGACAAACATTCTATTTCCACAATAGAGGAGGATGAGAAGGTGACTTCAAATTCATCCGATGCAGTAGCTGCATTCAGTCGAATTGCTTCAGCTTATGCAATTCTAAGCAATCCTGACCAACGTGCTATTTATGATAGTTTTGGTTATAAAGGTCAGTTAACTGAATTTCCTTTCAGTCTTCTTTTTTCGATAAAATGAATTATTAAAAATCAAACAATGCACTTTTTACTTTAGCATATATTTTTAATGATACTTGCCCACCTCAGGTATGTGTTGACTGGTTTTTTGTCAGTGATAAGAATGTACATTACTCTGATGTCAGATTCATATTGTCTGAACTATCGAGATAATTTTATCAGGAAACTGATACTTATGGTATGTAATTTATAGTAAACTGGGGGTTCTTGATATTCTACGTACCATCGTATTATAGACCGCAACTTAATGGGTGACCGAGTTATTCAGCCACTAAATTCGATGCTCGAACAACACTGTCCAGAAATCAGGTCAAGTCAAACCGTATACACGATTCACGACCAAAATGGACGGAGTAAGTGATAAACAGTAATTTGTTCCACAAAACTACAAGCACTCACAATCAGCGAGTTGGAAGTATAAATCGATAAGAGTAATAAAATCACATTTAATAGTCATAGGCTGTACCTGTTTGCCCACGCTCTATAACCAATAACATTAACAACTAATCAAAGCTTTTAGTTATCGCAAAACCCAAAGTACACATTGACTCGAAAAGTATGTACACGCCCCTTAAAATCTGGAAGATCTCTGGAATTTAATTTGATGAGGTACTTTGGTAACGTAGAATGTCCATTATCGTGTTTTTTGTTGACATTTAGATATAGTTTTCGTCCATTGTTACAGTAAATTTTAGTTTCTGTGGCTAAGAACTTTTCTGCGTTGTAAATGTCACATTTCGTCTCAATGGCTAAGTTTATTAATACGAAGTATCTATTTATGTCACCTCTACATATATTGCCCCAGAGCTTTGAATGCTTTTCATAGTTTCCCGTATGAAAAATTCACTACACTCAACTTTTGCATTTATTATCTCAAGAACTTCACCTACAGTCATATTTAACTTAAGGACTTTTTTTATCCTCTAATGGATGCTTCACCTAGTAAAATTATTTGATGTGAAATATGTCGATACACCAATCCATACACGTCATTTTAACATACTGATGTTTCTTCTTCAGTCTCACTAAGAATCACCAATCATTTTCAGTTTTCCAGAAATACTATCTATTGTACTCATTATGAATTATGTGACTTACAGCTCTAAAATCGGTAACTTTTATAACTTTCTAGGGTTGAAAATGCAGGGTTGGCAAATAACAAGCTGTCAAAAATCAGCACCTGAACTTCGTTTGGAATATCTTCTTCTAAAAGAAAAAGCTCAGGCTTCGAAGCAACTTCAGTTAACTCAACCCACGTCGGAATTTTCCCTCGGTGTAGATTTAACAGATGTTTTTGATCGTTATTTAAAGGTTAGTTAAGTAAATGTTGGATAACTACCTAAAACGTTTCAGTCTTCTGCTACTTATGTAAAAACTTTTTAGCATAGTTGTGCAGAACGTCTCAATTATATTGCTTATCTCGAAAAATTCGTAAAAGATAGTAGGAAGATTAGGAGGATTGTGTCGACTTCAAATTTTTGTTATGCGTATGTTCGAACTATTAATTGGCTGGTGTCTAGGCTCCTTCGCTGCTACGGCTATGAAGTTGACTGTCACTGTCCGGCTCCCACGCACTGGAAGGGTATCTCTTGAAGAGCCTGGGAGCGTTGATCTTAGCTACCTGAGAGCGTAACCACAGAGCATAATGGACAACTGCTTGAAGCCGGTCGCGCATGTCCTTAAGGAAAGTTTCTGACGCATCATAGCAGCTTTCCGAAAGGCCTACCACAGGAGACGGAAATCCGTGAGGCTAGGTGAGGTGTGACATTTTTAGAGTCGACCTTTCCGAACCCCTTCTTCCACTGTGAGCAGGTAGTATCTCTGGGCATGCTGGTTATTCAGGGAAAACAGACTACTGCTGTCACAACTCTCTACAGTCAACAATACGACTTTGTCCCCAGACTTTTAGTTCCAACTTTTCAGTCAATAACAACATTGGTCTTCGTTCGTACATACATATGTTGATATTGTCACACCACATTAGCGCAGAGACGCAATTGTCAGTTCGAATCCCATAATGGAAGAAATAGTAGAAGTATTAGCGGTAATGGGGAAGATTAGGGTTCGAAGATAATATTCAAAAATTGTAATTCAGTGAAATAAATTTAGAAAGAGTAGATAGAGGTAATGAGGAATTCAGATTGGAATCTCAGAGAACACTAAGAGTGGGTGCACCTTCGCCATTGCACCGGCCATGTTTCAGATGCATATAGGACGGAGCGAACTGCTGCGCAGCACACTCGTCCTTTGGTTAGCAGACGATTTCTCGCCAATGCCATAGGTGACAGCAGTTAGCAAAAGCCTATCGAGCATTCTGTATCCGTGCTGAGATTCCGCCATTGCAAACGATTTTGAGCCATGTCATATATTGTCTAACCATCCGTTACTGTTGTCTCGTGGACCCCAACCAGGTAGTCTGCACCTAACATGGCTCAGCCCACTTGTCAATGACTGCATAGATTTGGTTTGGCTGCCTCTAGAATTTTTCCAGCGTACCCCCACAACACAAGACATAACTCGTCGAATCAGTTGGTATTTGGGCATGCGTAACACATGTCTCAACCACCTCAAATGATGAAGTTTCAATACTCCATCTACGGATTTGTCATTCCTACCTAGCACTCTTTTCATAACAACTGCATGCTTACTCGGTGATCCCAGGATACACGAGTAATGCTCTTTGGACATGTATAATCGAATACTAATAACATACGGATATCCTCAACTCTTACCAGCCATGTTTCACAGCCATGAAGTAAGGAGGACCAAACTGCTTGGGAGTAGACTCGTCCATTAGTTGGTAGATAGATATCTCGCTTACGCCATAAATGAGGCAAGTTGGCAAAAGCCGATCGAGCTTTCTGTATGCGTGCTGAGATTTCGTCACACACCAGACCATCAACACTGATAAGACTACCAAGATAAGTGAAGTGGTCGACACGTTTGACTACTTCACTTCAATGGCACAGGTGCATCCACTCTTTGTGTTCTGTGAAATTCTAAGCTTCTGCATTCCTCATAATCTCTACCTTTCTCGTTCTAAATTTATCTTACTGAATTATACTTCTCGCATCATATCTTCGCTCCCTTATCTTCTCCATTACTGCTTATACTTCCAATATCGCTTACACTTTTGGATTTGAACTGACAGTTGTGTCTCTGTGCTGATGGGGCATGGCAACCTGAACTGATGTACTTGCGTACGAAGTTCTGTGTTGTATCTGTCTGTCTGTCTCCCTGTCACTAGTTCAGGTGCCGATACAAGCCGATCTTGAAGCAACATTTTGCATTTCGACGGGGAGAATCGCATCCCGAACATGCTTGCATTGTTACATACGGTAATCAGAAGACTGCATCTTGTCAGCATCTTCATCAAGTAGAAATATGTCATTGGCATACTCCAAGTGAGCAAGCGAGTCTCCTGGTAGAAGGTTCCCCCTTTGAAAATTAAGACGCAGATAATGTTATCTCTAAAACCATTTCAGTGACAAATTTGAATAGGAATGGAGAGAGTGTACAGCCTTGACGAACACCACTAGAATTGATCGATTGCGATAAAAGTTCACCATAAGGTGTGACTCGACCAGTAGTGTTCGGTTGGAGAGCCCGTAAAAGGTGAGTTTAATTCTTTGGTACATCCTTTAACAACAGACACTGCCGCTGCACCTCGCGATCGACAGAATCAAACGTCATCATAAGGTCGAGAAATACTACTATTGTGGGACGTCCTGACATGTGTCTATGTTCTACGAACTGACAAATTATGTGTATCTAAGGTATACATACAGATCCAGGTCGAAAACTAGCCTGGTTTTCTCGAGCCTGCTCTTCACGCGCTCTAGTTAGGCGTCATAGTATTATCGACGCTAATATCTTAAACACCCTAATAGGTAAAGAGATACTTATGTGATTGTGTAAGAAGACTTGTGACTGATATGACTGGAACATAATACACACCTCTAACTTCCGCCTACCTTAATGCACAATACTGGCTGGAATAGTAGTTGACGTTTGAAAGTATATCTGTTGATCTGAAGTGTTTTCCTTGCTCTGCTTTCGTACTCCACCGATCTAATTCCAGTTTTTTGTATTGGTTTACTGTTTGTGGGTAATGATGTTTCTAAAAGCCCAACAACAACATTTTTATAGTATTCTAATGAGTAAAATAACGTTATTCTTGACGGGATTTTACAGATCATCTTTCCAGAAAATAACAAGCTTGTTCATTAAATTTTAATAATACAAGGAACAAATATGATTACTTATTTTGTTCAAAGGTGATTCTTCGTGCAATATGCATTTTGCATATGGGTGGATGTAAATAATCGTAAAGTTTGTGGTTTGATCAATTGATTCCCTTGGTATGTCGATATATGGTGACGGTGAACTTGTTCAAATTTGATCAGACTCCAGCACAGTACGATGATATAATAATTAATTCAGTTACTTCTTTTTCTCTTTATTGTTGAGGCGTTTTCGAATATTTTTATTATGGACTTATTGTTTTAGAATGTGATATGCAGTGCTATTGTCACTTTTCGATTTCTGTAGAATTATTAGAACCTGTTTTTTAGTTCTAATGTTCATTAATCTCAATTTTAATTTCACTCATAGTCACTACGAACTAACTTGCAAACTCAGTTCTATGTTGATATGAAAAAATGTTGTCTCTGATCCAAACGTTTCGCATTTGATTATTTTGTCTCGCATTTAGTTTCTCTTTTGAATCTTGAAGTACAACTGTTACAGTATCATACAAGTCAGTCATTCCAGTCACACTGCAAACGTTCTTTAAAACAAAGTGATTATGTTTTATTTTAAGTTAACTTATCTTTTTATAGGAACCACCAGAAGATCGTTCATTTATCCCAATTCCATCAATTTATGAACTTTCTGTTGCCCAGTCTATCAATGCTGGTATCAGCATAAAAAACTCGGTTAGTTTAGCCGGTCAAGTAACTGCTCATAATGGTGTAGGAGTGGGAACATGTCTTGTTATATGGCGGCATCACTGCTCCAGAAGGTCAATCTTCGGTCCAACTACAATCGATACTGAGGTAAGATTATAATTTATTGCTAAGGGAACATTTTTATACTGTAGGTTTATCCAACTATTTTTTATTTTGGTGTAGTTCTTAAATTTCTTTTAATTTTCTTTCAGTTTTCATATGGTCGTGCCGGGCGTGGATTAAGTACTGGTATACGTGCAAGACGACCTTTTGGACAGCGTTCTGTTGGTAGTTTAGGCTTATCTCTAGCTAGTATATACGAAACGTCTCCCAAGTCGAGCATTACTCTTATCCCTGGTGTTTCTGCTGGTGTAAATATCCAATTATTAACACGTGTGCATGCACATCTAGAGTTACGTTGTCTAATGAATCCAGGTATATCAAGTGAATTATTTTTTGCTTCTGCTAACAATGAGTACAATGCCCGAATTTCAAGTAAGCTTAATGCATCTGGTTATGCAAGCATCTCACTTCGGCTGGAAAAGTCCGTCTCATGGAACTGGCTCAACCCACCTCAAGGATCTGGTTCTGCTGATAAGGAAGATCTCCCTGATTGCGACTGGGCTGATTCAGATCATTTTGATTCAGAACAACAGCGATGCGGTAAAGGCAAAATATCATGCACCTTAGGTGTTAATACTGTTGACATCGGTGAATTCGCTCTGGGTCTACAATGTCAAATTTCTGCTCATTCTAGAATCTCAGGTCAAATTCGTTTAAGCATTCAAAAAGGTGTAACTTTTAAACTTAGTCTTTTACGAGGTACTCAGACATATTCATTTCCGTTTATTTTATCTGATCACCCTGACAAAGTTGCTTTTGGTTACGGCTTGATTGTTCCTCTTCTTGCATTTTCGGCTATACGTATGTTAGTCTATGAACCTTATCTATCTCGTCAGTTAAAACTCTCACAAAAGTTTCGAAGAGCGAAACTACGCGAAGAATTGGCCAAAAAGCGCCGTGAGGCATTGTCCACCCAGGAACTCATGAGGACAGCTGCATCCCGAAGTAGACGGAATGAAATGTCTATTTGCGGTCTTGTTATTAATCATGCAATATATGGTTGTCTTTCACCGACTTCTAATTTTACTACTTTATCTGATGCTGGTGGTCCACTTGCATTTGATGTAACGATACCTCTTCAGGCTATGATAGAAAAAAGTCATTTACGCTTACCACCTGGACGGTGGTGTGATTTTCAAGGTTTCTATGACCCATGTGTTGGTTTGTTAGAAAAGTCACGTCAGCTTCATGTATCATATACTTTCCACAATTCCTCCCACGAGGTTACTGTCGATGAAAATCAAGGTCTAGCTATTCCAATGTCTAAGCATAAAGTTGAAATTGTATAGGCTCCGTAAAATCATCCTGTAGTTGTCTTTCAAATCAACTATCATATTATCTTCGATGTGTAGCATTTCTTAGGAACTTTAATTTATTCCTATATTGCTTATTGTTATTATTACTTGTGCAACTCTGTCGTTATTCATTTTGTTTGATAAATTAGCACAATACAAGCGATTCGGTCATTACATTACTAAAGCATTTAATCCGATTTTCATGTAAATAAACTAATTTTATTCTTAAACTCTTGAAAATCATTATCATGAATTCGCACTTCTGTTAAATTTAATTTATACTTCATTCCTAGAGGATGTACAGTTAATAGATAATATTCATTCATAAAACGATATTTTTCAGTAGTGTTAATTATTTTTATATATAAATTATGGGTCGGTGATGTTGGTTTATAGAAGAAATCAGGCATATACGTGTCAATGTAAAATCCTCTTTTTGTTCAGAAATCATTTAGTAACAGTATACCCCTAATCTTTTACGAAACGTCGCTAAGAGTCCAAGGAAACCGTTCGTTCTCGAAGGTCTTGAATCTTTTTGTGTGTTAGCATATAAAGTTATCGTGTTTTTTAGATTTAGTGATTTTCGTCAGTTATTGTAGCAATTTTACCTGTCCAGTATTGGTAGAGTTAATCGGATAGCGGTGATGATTTCTTTCTAAGTTTATACAATTTGAGTCTAAATTGTAAATAATGGTTTACTATTCAATAAATGAATCACAACAATGTGAATAAACTGTTCCAATAATAATCACTGTTCATATTATCATGTTTGTTATCGTTTAACTTGCGACCTTTTAAGCATATGTCGTTATGTCTGTGATTAGTTGTCGTTGCAACTATAAACTCAGGTAACGAGAATTTAGCAGTACTGTATTTAGGGTGAACTACGGGGGCACTAACAAAAGTATTGCGTTAGGGAATGGAGTGCGGAATATTAATTTACGAAGGAATCACTGTTGTATATAGCCACCAAACTTTAATAAATTTCTTAATTAATATTGCTCAGGATTAGTGAAATGTTTTGAGTCGTCATGACTAGCATGTATACAAACTCTCGCTGGTCGTCGAACTCTTTGATAGTGTGAAACAAAAGCAGGCACGTACAACTTCTTACGATGATTTCGTAAACGCTTTTTTGGTATCTGGTTTTGAACTATCGAATTGAAGTACTTTGTTTGATCTACTTTCCGTTTCTGAGTTTTTCAACAGCAATAGAAATGATTATTTATTTCGAGATCCAGGTATTTCCTGCCCAAACATCAGAGTTGTACAGGATTGGTATAAAGACCTTTACATAAGGACACTGTAGTTGACAAGCTATCGTCAAAACGATCACTGGTTTATAGCAGAAGTTGTCCTCGATTTATTCTTGTTTTTTCTAACCCCTGAACTGATACTAAGAAATTCACTTGTTGCAATCGAAGATTTTTCACCTTAGAAACAGTAGGAAGTTTAAGACCGGCATCAATCGGAAAATAAAGACTGAATTTTGTTACCGCAGTTAGATGATTTTAAAGCTGACAGTAATTATGGGTTCGATACCCTCTATGTCGACAACATAAGATTATAAGAATAACGTAGCTTAGTAAGATCAGAAATGAAGGGGTTGTCAACATTAAACGCGTAATCTGCGGCGTCTGTACGCATTGAGTAGGTGTGTACAATTGTACCACACTAGGCACTTACCAAGGTCTAAGCAACTTAATAAATTTTATTTGCCACACAGTGGTCATTAATATTGTCTCATCTTACGTTTGTCCCCCGCTTTGCAAATTGCAGTGGGCCTTTCAAAAAAATGCTTCTAGCATCACATCTATAGATAGACCATTTTACTGTTAGATTGGTCAAGTTACCCTAAATGCGTTTTCGCACTCAACATTCATCAGCTTCACATCTTACATTGTCGTCATTACTGAAGCTTATTACTCCAGCATTCAATATACACTGCCCTGCCTTCCTTTTCAGTCCTACTAAATTGCCGTTCATGCTTAACGCATCTGCTTCCTATTCTCGCCGCAATGTCTTGGGTTCTCCTCCGGCCTTGATGATTCCTAGCGAGAGGTTGTCTTGTGATGCGGTTAGGCTTCCTCACTGTGTGTCCGATCCACTTCCCGCGCTTTTTCTGCTGCAGGAATCTGGTTTGTTCTCTCCGATAATCGGTCGTTGCTGATGGCGTCTAGCCAACTAATCCAGTGTCTCGCGTTTACAACTGCTAATGAACAACCCTATTTTGCGGGTGGTGGTTTTCCAGCAAGCTTCACTATATCATATAGTTATCTCATGTTTCCTTCTCCTGCAGCCGTCATTGCTAAATCTTCCATGTATTTACGTTCGCCAACAATGGTGCTCTTCACTTGCTTGATTGCTTCCTTGCATTCAGATTGTGCCCTGTATTTCTCTGAGCTTGTTCAGCTGATATTGATTGCTGCCTTCCAGTTTTTCCTCTCGCGAATCTTATCCAGATTATCTGCGGCGATCCACCCCTTGTGAAGGTTCTGTTTGTGACCCAGCACGTCATTAAGTGTTGTAGTCATTATTTCTTTGATTCCGTTCTGGTTGTTCTCCATCGAGTAGATCGTGAACGACTTGAAACCTATTGCTGCGGAATTCGTCACGTTTGTCAGTGTCCCGAAGAAAGGCCGCAATAAAATGTGATTCTGTTCAGTGCTTCTTTAGTTTCAGTTTTATCTCGGCCACCACCAAGTGGTGATCTGAAACTCTGTCAGCTCCTCTGTTTTTTCTTTCGTCCTTTATGATCTTTCCGAATTTTCCATTGACGCAGATGTGCCCGATTCGGTTGTGTACTTTGGTTGGCTGAAAGCCATGTCGCTTTGTATGTGCGCTTGTGTGGGAATACGGTCAGTTTGTTGGAGGCACATCGTTCCTTTCTTGCGGTCCATGTTTTTGTATCGTATGTTGTCAGTTCGAACCTTAGCATTTAGATCTCCCATCAGAATGATCAACTCGTTTGCTGGACGTTTCTCGACGGTTGATCACAGCCTCTCATAGAATTGATGTTTGATGTCCTCATTGCCACCTTTGGCAGGTGGATATTTCTGGATGAAGTTCATTGTAATGACCTCTTTCTTCGTTTCGAAGGAGGCTTCGATGATCCTGCGTCCATGAGATTCCAATTCTATAGGTGATTTTTGGGATTCTTTGAAAAGCATCACTGAAACTCATTGTATATGGAGCATTTTCTTATTCATGGTCGGAGTGCAAAACACCTCTCCTGAGGCTAGTCTTTTTGTCTAGCTTGTGTCCAATGTGATTCACCAATTCCAAGTTTCACCAGGTTGTACCTTTTCATTTTCGCGGCGACTTCAATAGTTCCCTCGATCCCCCACAATGTACGAACATTCCGTGTACCTGAATTAATGGTCGCTCTGGATCTCAGAAGGGGTGTCGGCTCCATGACTTCCGAAGAAACTCAGCTTTTATCGCGAAGCGTCATAATCCTTCTAAATGAAGACCTTCCAAATGCCAAAGCATAGTTTAAGCTGTTTGAATTAGTTGTCCAAGTTAGCAATTTTTTAGTGCGTTGGTTTTCCACAGGATGAGGTCGGCAACCCCCTTGCCCAATCCCTCCCTTGTCCGAACCTTGGCCTGGCAGTAATCCCAGTAGGGCTCCAGTCGGAGTTTTATCCTCTTGATGATGTACACATCATTGTATTGATAATATGATTTGTACCTGTTATGCGAATAAATTGTTTTAGTGGTTTTTCAAAACGAATGAAACTCACTTTTCGGGCAGTTTGGGGGACGTCTACTATCAGACTTCTTGATACCTAACCACGCTGCGTTGTCCCTGATTCGCTGTCCTCGAAAAAGCCTCCTTATCGTCGACAGACACTGACTTCTCATTAGGATAGAAGTCAAAAAGCTCTGTATCATAAGGCTTACATATACGATTAATAACCTTTCTAATTTCTGGGCGTGATTTAGGTCCAAAAACATTTGAAGAATTCTTATGTCCCGAAAGCAGATGATTATTAACTTGCATATCTTGTCCGATTTTCGGGCGACTGGCTAATAGTCCAAATCTACTGCTGGATATCTTTTCACAAGACGATATAAACTCTCTGAGTTCGGCAAATGTGGGCTCCCTATCCTCATCAATCCATCTAACTGCCAGCTCTGCCCACTGAACTTGCATGCGATGAGGTAACAGCTTCAATATTCGTTCCAAAGTTACTAATGAATTGAAATCAGTGGTGCAATTCATCTGCACCAACACCATGGCACAAGTTCGATGGCTTCTGGCATCATTATAATCAACATTGCCAGGATGAAACAACTCTTCCAACGTTTCCCTAGTTATAACGTGAGATTGCCTGAATAGCTTTTAAAGTATCTCCTTTGTTCTTTCACATCCAATTCTAACATCATGCAACCCTCGAAGGCTGTTTTAGCCTTACCCTGGCAATAGTGAATCAAATGGAGTAAATGCAAGCTGTCGTCATGGACTCGAGATTCGACATAAGTTTAAAATCGACGCATAAATTTCCAGTATCCAAGAGGTTATCCATCAAAGTGGCTTGACTCAACCTTTAGTAATTCTTAGCCTATAACCGGCGCTGTAGACATCAAATTTTTCCATGTACTCAAAGATTATCATACAAGCTACATTTTTAGTGCCCTTTAACAACGGCTTACGATTAAATAAACTATGATCTTCTCTATCCGAGAGTGAACTATATAAATGAAAAGAGGTAAAAGGCACTTACTTTATAAGAAAGGATTCGTATTTCTGTTTGTCTTCATGGCTTCCAACCAGACGCGTTTGACTTCTTCTTGCGAGAATTCATTGTAATACCTGCAATCGAGGAAAAAGAAACACCAGCTTAGTGATATTGTATGGGGTTTTAACCTCCAATCTACCAATAATGATCAGAAATTAGAATTCAGTGGTCCTGTCTTCTTGAATTATTGTTGAAGGCTGTGAAGACCAAAATATTCTTCTTCAACCAAATATTGTTAAGGACTTTTGGGGTTTTCGAGTGGCTTCTGAATTTGAAAAACAGTTCTAGAAGTTTAGATACGCGCCTTTCCAAGTTAATCCAACAAGAAAGCAATTTATCTGGGTAAGAAATGGTTCTATTATTATTTAAAAGGTGTATATCGTTAGCTAAACACAATGTGTGTCCATTTCTGCAAGAATGCTTCCGTACAAGTCCAGAATTGCACCCTTCATGTCCAGATTCAAGTTTCACCCACCAGGGTATCAAATCCGATATGGCTTACGCCATAATTTGGTATCAATTTAAGCAACATAATACAGTTCAGTATAAAACATAGAAACTCCAATAAGGGTACAAAAAATAGGAACTATAACAAAATACAAATAGTAACATCACAAAATATGATCAAACAGACTACCAAAATATAGCGCAGAAAGTCAGTAAGAACATATTACAAATATATACATGGAAGGATTTTCCCAAAACAAATCCTTCATATTAGATTCTACAATGGTATTTGTGTGTTAATTGTAACTTGAATTCGTAAGCCCGGTCACATCCTATTCGGGATTCACTCTCCATATTATAAGGAGGATGAATCGTCAATCCACCGCCAGTTGCTCTAAATTTAATTTTCCTAATTCTTTTTATTACCTCATTTGTAAAGGAACAACAACTTCCCAATGTCATTGTACTTTTATTATTGTTGTATTGGTATAAGCAAGTATGGTTTACATTCTACGTGCATATTCATTCTACTAAGTTTAATTTGTTAAATAAGCGACCAACCTGAAGTGAACGGCCGGCGAGTACGGCCGCATTTAAATGAAGGTTCGGGAGTTTCTCGCATTGTATGAGCAGCAGGCTCGACAACGGCGGGCACCGGGCCTAAATGTACGGTGAAACCATTAAGAAATGGTACTCGCTACCAAAGTCGCCTTTTGGAGTGACTTGGAAAATGGGGGTTAGTACTTGCAGCCTTGCGTGATCGTGATGGGGCTCGGTGGACGAGTGGTTCATATATAAGAGAAGGACCAAATAACTTGAGACCGCTGTGAATACAGCAACTCCCATCTCCTTGATCGTGTGGGTGACTAGCGTCGAGGTTTGCGTGAATACATGACGTGGAGTCAACAATGTAGCTGTATCGCTTGCTAATTCACGCTAAAATTTTGTCTGCTTTGATGGCAACTTGGTTAAGTGGCGTATCTTCGAGCTCAGCAGTGAGTGTAAACTGAAAGTATGCTGGTAGGGATTCAAGCCACAGTTCCTTGACTATTTCAGAGTTGATCAAAGAATGCGCTTCGAATGAACGTGTCCTCGCTGACTCTTCTCCATTTACCGGAAACAATCCACTATCGGGATACTTTATCACCCCGAAGCTGTAAAAAGTTTTCTCCTTTCATTGGTTGACAATCTGAAAACATTTTCGGTCAAACAGAATCATTCCAAGTCAGAACCATTGTGCTGTAGGTCTAGCTGCCTCATTCAACTGTTCTTTTTCTAGCATACATACATCCACTCACTCACGAACACAGGACTTGTGGACAAGCTACCGGATACACGCAATGTTACTTACTAATACGGTCAAAGGTGAAGGTGCGTTTTTGGAGTACTTTCAGGCTCTATTCCTTGTAGTTTTATTATATACTACTAAAATTCTTCTTTCCTAAACCCCTTTTTAGTGTATCTTGTATTTTAATTATCTCAGTCTTCACCTCCTAATCTCCCTGTTATCATGTTAAGTAATAAGGTCTCTAGTACACATTACACTATAACAACCAGGAAAACTTGTAGAGGCATAAACCTCGGGGTCAATAGTGCATCGGAAATCCCAATATCATGCGAACGGGTTGTTAAAAAACCCAAACAGTCAGTTGATAGTTCGCCTCTCAGCGTCCATACTTTAGATCACTGAACGCAAACACCACAGAGGAAGCAAAATACCACTCCTATTCCTAAAAAGACCAGTATGCTAGTTTAGAATAGGAGAAAAAAAAGTTCCAAGGCTCAGTCGACACAGTCCAACGCCCAGAAACCGCATAAGGATGACTTTTTTGCCTGCTCATTACCAGTCAAAATCAGCGACCGTGGTTTCGAATGCAAATTCTGTAGCACATGAGTACATTGTCACTGAGACACTACAGTAACTAGAAAGTACTACAGATTCATGCTGAGTCACCCCTGCCCATGGTTCTGGTACATTTTCCCTCGGTGCAGGGTATATGAGGCACTGAAAAAGCCACAGATCCCACCCAAAATCAGCAGTTGATGTGTGTTCAATTCACGTCGGGCTCACTAATTTTAGTGGTGGCCAAGTCGAGATTGACTATGATCTCCACTAACTACTAACTACGAACCTGTTACTGAGAAGATAAATAAATTCAGGATAAATGATAAGTTAATATAACCAATCGCGTTCTCTTCATAAAAGTATTCCATTACAACAGTATCGACCATCACATACTTTTAATTATAAGGTTGCAATTAAAGCATCGAATCTATGAGGTCAGTTGTGACAAGCATTTATAATTTGGTATAACGGTTAAGATTAAGAATATTATACTAAGTTTAGGACTGTATTGAATATCCACCGCCACACAGATAATAGCGTTTACAATTTATCCATGATATCCTGAAATAAAATCTATGTAAAAATTGTAAAGCGGTTGCTGATGCTTGCTCATAGCTTTTAATTTGGTCTGGTCTCGAAATTTAGTAGTCCAAAATAAGAACTTGTGTCGTGGTCGTTCTTCTGCTGATTAATAATATTCTAATCTTGCTTTTTGTCAAGTGAATATGTTATGAGTGCTTTTTCACGTTCTTTTATTTTGTATGTGGCACTTAATCACAATTAACTAAACTACCCTAATAAAATGCCATCTGTCTTATATGCAGATTTTAAGGTAGGATCATGAGTACAACAACGTATAATTTTATTTGCTGTTTCTAATTTTTTTCCCGCTACATGTAGTTTGAGAGCTTAGATGTAGTTGATATGCTGAATTTTCTAGCTCCAGGGACTACAAATTGATTTCCTTTATAGCCATTGGCTTTTTTAATGAAAGCTTGCTCCATGCTGTCTACATTAAATTGAAACATTTCTGTTTTATTGAACTAGCGTCACGAAAATTTGTGTTGCTGTACTTTTAAATCGAACGCGCGAGCGGGACATCTGGTTTTGTATATGCGGAAACGGTGAATAACCTAATCTATATTTTAGAACTATGAGTGATAACAAAAGACTGTCCTTCAGTCCGATAAATGCCGAGCTCCTCCGTGATGACAAAGAACCGTTGCGAGAAGCAGATTTATCTACCAAAGATATGGTGTGGGTCCCTCATGAGCGAGAGGCCTTTGTCGCAGCTATTAAGCTCCAAGAACAAGGAGAAAACTGTGTAGTACAAATCGTGGAATCGGGAAAGAAATGTACTTTTCCGAAGGATTATGTTCAGAGAATGAACCCCCCAAAGTACGACAAGATAAAGGATATGGCAAATCTCTCGTTTATGAATGAGGCATCAGTTTTGAATAATTTGAAAACGAGATATTACTCAGGAATGATTTATGTAAGTCGATTTGTTGGTTTCCTTAAAAGTACAGACATACTCCGGATTGTTTTGTGTGGTTGTAAACCCATACAAGCGTCTGCCGATATATGATGAAGAGATAGTTGAGTGGTATAAAGGGAAGAAACGTCATGAAAGACCACCACATATATTCGCTATTGCTGACGGAGCTTACCGTAGCATGCTTCAAGGTAATAGTGTTTAACTCTAGCTTAATATATATTACAGATCGTGAGGATCAGTCCATTTTGTGCACGTAAGTGTAATCTTCACTCTGACAACATGTTTTAGCGGTGAATCTGGATCCGGAAAAACTGAAAATACTAAGAAAGTAATACAATACCTCGCATCTGTGGCCACGTCTGCAAAACATCAGAAAACGTCAGCCAGAAATGTCTTGTCCAAAATAAACGTAAGTACTATTCTAATTTATTCGTATAATATCTTGGTATTTGTATACAAGCAATATATGCATTACAAACACGACTGTCATTAGTAAGGATGGATACATTTGTTGACGAGCTAATGCACTAACTGCTTTTTCGTACTAGGTATTCGATATCTTAGGCGACTTGTTGCAAATCTGGATTTCCAAAAACATAAGTCAGTGTTTCTATTTGAAACTTTGTTTCATTCCCCACTCTTCGCTAGTGAAATCTCAGTTGAATATATGTAAATTAAAATCAGTATAACCCTTAGTATTTTTATGGTTTGATTTATAGTAGGTAACAGACACGTCCTGAGTACTCTGATTTCATTAACTGTTAAATATCATAGGTATTCAATTTCGTATAAGTCGCATCCAGGTTAAGGCTCTATTAAACGCATCTATCCCTCTGCCACAAACTTTTGTTTGATGAGCATCCACCCATTTCTTATCATAGCTGAGAAAATCAGCGTTAAACTAAGAGCTTACCTTACAGCATGTCCGAGAAATCTCATATATACTACTGGTCTGATTATCTGATGTGAATAACTTTTTCATATGTACCACTACCAAAGTTGGGCTTGGTACGTTCTGCAGATCCTAATAATGAGAATTATTTTTGAATTTCTACTCATTGGTAGATCTTATAATTAACATAACCTACATCCATGAGGTTTTCAGTATATTTCTTAGTTTCTGAACCATATCATGTTTGTACAGTGCGTTACACTCAATACTCGATTTATAAGTAAATTGCCGAATATGATTTACCAACAAATAACTGGTCAGAGTTATTGTTATTGGATTCTTTTCAAGACTAGGTAGTATTGTTTTAATCTGGTTTTTGATTGATTCAATTTTTAGACGAAAGATTTTAATATCGTAAGTTTACTGTTGCTTTGTGTACACAATAATTCTTTTACACAAATTCTTTCTGCACGTTTGATTACACTACTTGTAAAAACTGGTGATCCTTAAATGGTTTTTTTTCCCGTGAATAAATGTGTCAGTGGCCACTGGCAATTTACATGAATTTATTCCCAAAGACACTCTTTGGTGGAGCTTTTGGTATCTAACTGACTCGTTTACTGTTACTCTTATTTCTACACATTGCTTTCATGTTTTAGGGTGAACTTGAAGCACAACTGTTGAAAGCAAATCCTATTTTGGAAGCGTTTGGAAATGCCAAAACAATCAAAAATGACAATTCTTCACGTTTTGTAAGTAAATCGTTTCCCACAAAATTCCTTAATAATTGGCCAGAAAGTGCCTTTGAGATTTTGCATTGTAGAGCCCCTATTAAAATCGATGGATATGATCATTATACCTAATTATTTGATTATAAGTGGCAACATTTCCCGAATGTTGAACTGTTACACTCAAAAATACAACCAACTCTCATTATCACTCTGCTTGTTACGCACACTTTTCTGTAGTCTGTCAAATTCTCATTTTGCGACCATTTACATTTACCAATCGTTCTGTATTTTCAGTCTAGTGCTTTTCCAGAAGAAAAATATGTACGCGATAAGCATAGTTATACCAACGCCAAACCTACTACATAGCTTTTGCATATTTGTAAAAATCCTGAGTTGCTGATTATGCAGGCTTTTTATTATTATAAATTGTCATACTAGTTCTAGTGTATAGCTCTTGAGTAATTTCACTAAATACTTTCAGATGAAACAAATGAATGCCGACCTAATAATAAATAGGAACTCTTTGTGGTTGTTTACTAGATCGCACTAAGTGCATAAAAACTATCTAAATGTTACTACCACGTGTTCGTTAAGTATTTTTATGACTTCTATGCTGCAGGCTATTATATTGTGGTTATTCATTTTACTTATCAATCACAATTTAACATTGGAGTAAATAACATCATTGTTTTCCTTTTACAGGGCAAATTCATTCGTATCAATTTTGACACATCTGGATTCATTGCTGGAGCTAATATTGAAACATGTATCCCTTTTATGATTAGTTCTCGTATATGTACAGGTTTCATTTTTAAGTTTTTCTATTCGGCCAAATAACCTATTTATTATAAGTGTATGTACTGTCATCCTGCTTCCGATAAATCAGATTCAGTACGCGATTCGCTTGAGGTTGGCCATTCATCCAGACCCACAATATACCTGATCCTCTACATATTTTAAACCTGCTGACTTGTCCAAACCATTGAAATTGTTCATCACTCGTATTTGTTGGTAGTCTAACACATCAGACGCTCAAGCTTTGAACATCAAATAAAGATTAACTTCCCATGCTTATACAAATTTTAAGAACAACCAGGGGACCAGCATCCAGTCAAGGTCTTATAGACTGTTAAAAATCAGCATTAATAAAAAATATATTAAAATTATTGATGAATATATGAGTCAACGAATTGGATGACAATTACTATGCCTTCAAATAAATAAATTCGTGTCATTATAGTCTATTCTGAGCTATCATATTTGGTTGCAAACCACATTTACGCTATTTTTTGACTCTAAATGAGGTTGCTTCTAGTCGTTGTGATTTTTATACTTGACTTCACCCAATTTTTTCCTGATTTTCATTTTACATTTAAAGTGTGTTTATAAATTGTGAATTCCTTATCCTAGAACAGATCTTTTAGAGAAAGCTCGTGTTATTCGTCAAGCACCGGATGAACGCAGTTTCCATATATTTTACCAACTTTTGGCTTCAGCTACTCCAGCAATGCAGCAACAATTATTATTAAATCACGCCAGCGCCTATCGTTTCCTTTCAAATGGTATGATTGAACTGCCTGGAATCGATGAGCAACAATTCTTCCGTGAAACAACCGAAGCTATGGATATAATGGGAATTAACAATGAAGACCAAAATGGTACGTTTAAGTCAGCTGACCTTTATATCATGTTTACATTGTTTGGGCAAATAAATGTTATTATCTTATCAAGTAAGCTAATTTGCCTTAAAACTCCTAAGTTCAGTTGTTTTCAAATGATTTATCTTTATGACCTGTCATTTTAGCTATATTCCGCGTGATCTCTGCCGTACTTCACCTGGGAAACTTGGAGTTTCGTCAGGAGCGAAATTCTGACCAAGCGACTCTACCAGATCATTCAGGTTAGCGTTTGAAAATTTGTTAAGCATTATTACACTTGGTTAGTTGCATATTATTTATCAACTTTTCATTTCCTGCTTTAAATCCGTGCTCACTTCTCATTCCAAGCGTCAGTATTCATGTATCTTAGTTTCGTGCAAGTAATATTGCCCATACTGAGTTGATGCACATAGAGACAAGGTTTGCAAGTTGTTTGATAGAGGCTTTCAGCTCGTGATTAAAAATATCGTCCAAAGAAACATGCTCATTAACACTGAATTAAGTTATATTTATCAAGCTATAGCACACCAAATCTTTTTTTCCCATGTTAGAATTACTGATGTCATGGTACACAGCAATTTCACTAAAATGTTTTTCCGTTTTTTATAGCATTTAGTGTTATCGAGTGCTATAGTTTCACACTTACGTATTCATGACTTACATGTTTTCACGCGATACTACAACATTCATCCACTACTGTAAATGTATTGACTAAATGAATTTTGTTGTTGTGGGAAAATGGTAGTAGATCTAAAAACAGCGAAAAATTGGTGACAAAAAACTGCATAATAAGAGAAACTTCAGTCAACAGCACAATACAGAAAATCCGGTTATTGACAATATTACTATCAGCTTCTCTTCCGAGCCATATGTGATAGCGTCTCAAGCCATTGAGTTTACTGGATATTTATCTTCCAACAGGTTTCTAAATATAGATCTGCTTACTCCACAGTATAACTAACCATATTGTCTGATCTGAAAGCGATATGCTATTGTGGCAATCGACAATTCCTATGGGAAAGCATTATTGGCATTCGTGCTCTAAGGTACATTAACTTGTGAGTGCTCTGCGTTAATACTGTTAGTCAGGCTAGAGCTTACTACGAACTGTTAACTAAAATTTGAACACAACAAATGTTCATCAAGACCTTAGAAAAATAGCTGATCTGAAAACCAACTCTTGAATCTTAATCTATACATAGTTTTCGTTAGGTAGTTTTCACTTGAAAAACGGATTTTGAACCATACTTTAAAGTTCTTCTTCACCGGTCGATCCTTGTTTATTTGCTTTAAGTAAGGTAAATCAGTTTGAATACTCAACGTAAACATAAACTTTCGAATTATCAGTTGAGAGTTCGAAAATTTATTTGCGAAACTGCTTTTTTGCCTGATATTGTTATAGAACCCAAATATTGTCAGAAGTTTATGAAATCTGATTTCGTAGTATAAATTTTAGTTTATTCACCATACTACAGTTGTAATATCTTAACCCATTCTATTTTATTCTTATGACCATTACCAAGTACCTTAATGTCTTTTAGTCGCCGAAAAGGTATCCCATCTTCTGGGTATCTCTCTGAATGATATGGTCAAAGCGTTTTTGAAACCGCGTATTAAGGTTGGTAAAGATCTTGTATCAAAGGCTCAGACTAAAACACAAGTTGAGTTCGCCGTTGAAGCGATATCAAAATCTATCTACGAAAGGCTCTTTCTTTGGTTAGTCGCACGAATCAATAAAACACTTGACAAAACTAGACGACCGGGTGCATCGTTTGTTGGGATTCTGGATATTGCTGGTTTTGAAATTTTCCAAGTGAGTCCATATTTTGTAAAGATAAGAGCAAACTGTTATCTCCATTATATTTAGACTTTTACGTGGTAGCCCTTTTTAGATTGTTAACCGTAAGTCGTTATCTAAGCTAGACCAATCATTGATAGACAGATATAGGCAACAGTGGAACTGACACCATGGTATATCTATCCAGTCTGATCCAGTATACATATCAAACCTAAAAACTATAGTCCAGGAAAAGAATCATTTTAATGGCAGTTTGAATAACAGTAGGACTTGGAAAATCAGATAAAATTGTCTTCGAATCATTGCTCGTGTATCCAGGACCAACTGCGCAAGCAATGCTGTCGTCAAGAAACGAGTACTAGGTAGGGATGGCAAATAAATTGACGAAGTATTCAAACTTCATCAGTTGAGTGATTGAGACATGTATTAGGTATGCCTAACCACCGACTGCCTCGACGAGCTATGTTTTTTGGTGTAGGAGTAGGTTGGGAGAAAGCTAGGGGCGGTCAAACCAAAACGTGGCAGAAATGCATGAAGTCACTGACAAGTGTACTGAGTCATGTTGGTAGGTGTAGGCTACCTGGTTGGAGTCCGCGATACGAAAGTCACTGATGGCTAGAGACTTTGTATGACATGATTCAAGATCGTGCAGATGCAGTTGGAGGTGCATGTGCATCGATTTTTGTCTTCTCTCAAATTCTAACCTTCTGAGTTCCCCACCATCTCTATCTTTCTCTTCTCAAATTCATTTCACTAGATTATACTGTTTGAATAGAATTTTCAAACCCTAGTCTTTTCGATCACTGCTCATGCTGGCGGTCAATTCACCTATGTAGTAATGTCGCACGGTTTTTAATTACACTTGTTGCATGAATTTTTAATTTCTTTTCACCATAATACTTATTTTGGTTTAAGCACTCTTGTTTATTTGGGCAAACAAGTAAAATGGTAATTGTTGTGAATCATTTCTTTCTTTGAAAGACGAATTCTTTTGAACAACTATGCATCAATTATACGAACGAAAAACTGCAACAACTATTCAACCATACTATGTTTATCTTAGAACAAGATGAGTACACTCGCGAAGGCATACCTTGGGAATTTATAGACTTTGGACTCGATTTACAACCTACAATCGATCTAATCGAACGCGTAAGTTGAATAATTCCAGCTATCTAAATAGCTCTCATTTAATGGTTTTGTACCATTACTTTTTTGTTGCCCTGTGATTGTTTTACACCAATAATCTCTACTCATTCGACTTAATTCGAATGAATTTAAATATGCATAAACCCTCATTCTATATTCGGCGCATATAATAAATATCACACACTACGAAGAATAAAAGTACACTTTCTTTTTGTTTTTCTTTAGCGTTTGCAGTCCACTATACTATTTGATCGGTTACCACAAGTTTTAATTTACGTTAAAAATAGGCTAGTTATTTTCGTATAATTGTTACGTATCATACCGACTGACATTCTTCCTCTCTAAAAATACCGTGGTAGGTGTGAGGGCGAAGTCGTACTGCTGACTGCAGAGGGGTGTGACAGCAGTAAGGTGCTTCCCTCGGACAACCAGCATCTGAAGCGATGCTGCCTTCTCACAAGGAAGGAGGGGTTAGAAAAGGTCGACTCTAAAAATGTCACCCCTCACCCTACTTCACGCATTTCCGTCTCCGGCTGTAAGGGCTGTCCACTAAGGGCTTTTAAAAGCAAAGCTAATACTCAAAAAACCTTTCATAAAAAGGATGTACGTGACCAGCCTCAAGCAGTTGTCCCTTGGACTCTGCGGTCACGCTCCCAGGTCTCTAAGACCAATGCTAATGTACCTTCCTTTTCAGGTTCCTCAAAAAACACTCTTCCAAGGTGTGGGCAACCGGGAAGTAACATCCACCCTCATACCCGAAACAACACACGAGACCAAATTGGTCGCAAACAAATCCTTCCTACACTCCCTAAAATCCCCCTTATCTTCACGACTAACTCTTCTCACATTTCTTTATCACACCGCACCGCTAATTCAAACGATCCGACTTCCTGAAACGTTATCCTTGGTCTCCTGAAACCCCGTTCTAGATTATATGTTGGAGCTTTTAGTTTACGGACATTGTGTCAAATAGGACAACAGGCTTCCTTAGCTAGGACTCAATCGATGTACGCTGCGTCTCGGAAACGCGCATAGAGGATCCGAGTAGCGTCATTCATTTGACATCACCATGTCAAGATGAAGTAACTCGATTTAATCTGCGTGTATCTGAAAGCTCTGATGCTGCTTCTCGGGGTCTCGCTGGTGTAGGTATAGCATTGAGTCGTAGGGCAGAACTAGCTCTCCTAGGCTGGAGTTCAGTAGATAGTCGCTTGTGCGCTGTCCGGCTAAATGAGACAGAAAAGACTCAAAAAGATAGCGGTACTCGCCGTTGCCTCTTCGTCATATCTGCCTACGCTCCCCCTGACTGCAGTTCAGATGAGTTTTATCGAGAGCTTTCATACCTCCAAAACGTTAGGCACTCTGATATAGTAATAATGACTGGAGACTTCAATACTCACGTAGGTAGACTGAGTAAAAATGAAAGTCACCTAGGTGGATGTTATGGTGTCGCAGCTCAGAGAACAGACAATGCCTACCGTCTGTTGCAAGTATGCTCAGATAACCAGTTCAATTGGCGTTCAGCCACACTTCGGTTGCCCACAATCCCCAGTCATCCTGAATTGCAAATCGATGTAAGTCATCCGAGTCTTTATGAAGTTGAGAAAGCTATAGGAAATCTGAAGCGAGGTAGAGTAGCAGGTCCTGATAGGCTAACTCCTGAGATTTTTAAGGATGGTGGTCCAGCTTGAGGCAGCTAGATTGACTGAGTCTGAGAACTGGGCGTAATACCATCCGACTGGTCTCAATCACTGATTGTCCGAGTCTACAAGAAAAGACAAAAGTCCCCTTGTGTCAATCACGGGAATAAGCTTAACTAACATAGTTTCTAGATTGTTAGCCTCGATTATACTTAGCCACCTAACTATAGCTCGTGAAGAGCAGACTAGAGAAAGCCAGGCTGGTTTTCGATCTGGACGTGGCTGTATAGACCACATTTTCACTCTACGACAGGTCCTGGAACCCGACCGTAGCTGCTACCTTGAGGTGGTGGTCGGGCTTGCCTATCGTGATGACCCAACCGAGCTATACTGGCTGGAACATATGTTCCTCAAGGTTCTACCATGCCAGGCAGGTCGATTGGAGAACGATGAGACTAAAAGCAGCGACCCAAGGTCTGAGGGCGAAGTCGTACTGCTGACTGCAGAGGGGTGTGACAGCAGTAAGGTGTTTCCCTCGGACAACCAGCATCTGCAGCGATGCTGCCTTCTCACAAGGAAGGAAGGGTTAGAAAAGGTCGGCCCTAAAAATGTCACACCTCCCCTAACTCACGGATTTCCGTCTCCTTGGGTAAGGGTGCCCACTAAGGGCCTTTAAGAACGGAGCTAATCCTCAAAAAACATTTGATAAAAAGGCCATGCGTGACTGGCCTCAAGCAGTTGTCCCTTGGGCTCTGCGGTCACGCACCAACACTAATCTATCTTCCTTTTCAGGTTCCTCAAGAAACAACCTTCCACGGTGTGGGCAGCCGGGAAGTGACAACCGCCCTCATACCCATAACAGCACCAGAGACCGAATTGGTCAAAATCAAATCCTTCCTACACCCCCTAGTACCTCTCTTATCTCCACGACTAACTCTTCTCACATTCATTCATCACAGTGTACAGCTAATGCAGACGATACGAGTTCGCGAAACGTCGTTCCTGGTCTCCTTAAACCTCGCTCTAGACTACATGTTGGAGCATTTAATGTACGGACATTGTGTCAAATAGGGCAACAGGCTTCCTTAGCTAGGACTTTAGAATCTCGTGCCATCGATGTATGCTGCGTCTCGGAAACGCGCATACAGGATCCGAGTCACGTCATACACTTGACCACACCATGTCAAAATAAAGAAGCAGCTCGATTTACTCTTCGTGTATCCGGTAGCCCTGATGCTGCTTCCCGGGGTCTTGCTGGCGTAGGCATAGCATTGAGTCGTAGGGCAGAATTATCTCTCCTTGACTGGATCCCTGTAGATAGTCGATTGTGCGCTGTCCGACTAAACGGGACAGTAAGGACTCGGAAAGATAGGGACAATCGCCGTTGCCTCTTCGTCGTATCTGCCTATGCCCCCACTGAATGCAGTTCAGACGAGGTTAAGGATGAGTTTTACAGAAAGCTTTCGGACCTCCTCCAAAAAGCTAGGCGCTCTGATATAGTAATAATGGCTGGTGACTTTAATGCTCAAGTAGGTAGACTAAGTGAGCAGGAGAGACACCTAGGTGGATGTTATGGTGTCCCGGCTCAGAGAACAGACAATGGTGACCGTCTGTTGCAAATATGCTCAGACAACCGCCTATTCTTAGCAAACACTAACTTTAGGCATAAGGAAAAGCATCTGTTGACCTGGCGACCTCCAAAGTCGTCTCAACGTTGGACTCAACTAGATCACATTGCCATCAGCCACCGATGGAGGGGTTCGATAGAGGACTGTCGCTCGTTCTGGAGCACATGTCTAGATTCAGATCATGCCCTAGTGCGAGCGCATATTTGTTTGAAGCTTACTGGGCGTAGGAAAGACACCGTAAGAAAGCCTCTTAGGGTTTTACTTAATGATAATAAGGCGAAAAATATATTTCAGGAACAACTAGAAAGACAGTTAGGCGACCATTTAAGCGATTCCCATCCGGAAGCAGGATGGAATGATATCAAAAAGGCTGTGGAAACAGCAGTGATATCTGCTAGTAATTTTGACCATAAGGCTAGAATGAAACCGTGGATCTCAGTAGCATCCACCGATCTGATGGATGCCCGAAAACTCATCCCACCTGGCTCTGAACATGATGAAGAACGAAGTCAACTTAGGCGCAGACTTATAAAAAGCCTACGTAACGATCGCGAACAGTGGTGGGTGGCGAAAGCAAAAGCGATGGAAAAGGCAGCGGCGATAGGCAACACTAGACAACTTTTCCGCCTTATTAAAGAAACTGGTATTAGGAATCATAGTGTAAGTGAGACTATCTCGGAAAAGGATGGTCTTATTATCCATTCTCAATCCAGGAGACTGGATCGATGGGCAGAACACTTTAGGGATCAGTTCAACTGGCCTCGAGCCACTCTTCGGTTACCCACGATCTCCAGTCATCCTGAATGGCAAATCGACGTAAGTCCCCCTAGTCTTAATGAAGTTGAAAAAGCTTTAGGAAATCTGAAGCGAGGACGAGCTGCAGGTCCTGATAGATTGACCCCTGAGATATTTAAGGATGGTGGTCCAGTTTTAGCAGCTAGGTTGACTGAGATCTTAGGTAGAATCTGGGAACTGGACGTAATCCCATCCGACTGGTCTCAATCACTGATTGTCCCAATCTATAAGAAAGGACAGAAGTCTTCTTGTGACAATCACAGGGGAATAAGTCTAACTAATATAGTATCTAAAATATTGGCCTCAATAATACTTCGACGCTTAACGAAAGCTCGTGAAGAGCAGACTCGAGAAAACCAGTCTGGTTTTCGACCTGGACGTGGCTGTATAGACCACATTTTCACACTACGACAGGTCTTGGAACACAGACACACATTTAGGCGTCCTACAATAGTTGTTTTCCTGGACCTTAAGGCGGCATTTGACTCAGTGGATCGTGAGGTTCTGTGGCAGTGTCTGTCATTGAAAGGTGTACCAAATAAGTACATTAACCTCATACAAGCTCTCTACTCGAACACCATTGGTCGAGTGAGATATGATGGCGAACTGTCACCGGAATTCTCTACATCAAGTGGTGTCCGTCAGGGATGTCCACTTTCTCCATTCTTGTTTAATTTTATCATAGACATGCTCCTAGAAATAACCTTATCCTCGTCTGAATTTTCTGGAGTAGACCTTTTACCAGGTGGCTCGCTTATTGACTTAGAATATGCCGATGACATAGTCCTACTTGGTGAAGACGCTGACGAAATGCAGAGTCTTCTGACTACCCTAAGCAACAATGCAAGCATGTTCGGGATGCGGTTTTCCCCCTCGAAATGCAAAATGTTGCTTCAAGATTGAGTTTCATCGACACCTGAACTAGTGATAGGGAGTGAAGTAGTCGAACGTGTAGACCGCTTCACTTATCTCGGGAGTCTCATCAGTGCCGATGGCCTGGTGACTGACGAAATCTCGGCACGGATACAGAAGGCTCGATTGGCTTTTGCCAACCTGCGTCACTTATGGCGTAGGCGAGATATCCGTCTGCTGACTAAAGGACGAGTGTACTGCGCAGTAGTTCGCTCCGTCTTACTTTATGGCTGTGAAACATGGCCAATGAGAGTAGAAGATACTCGTCGGTTATTGGTTTTCGATCATAGATGTCTTCGAAGCATTGCTCGTATATCGTGGGACAACCGAGTGAGCAATGCTGTTATTAGGAATCGGGTGCTAGGTAAGTATGGCAGACCAATCGATGAAGTGGTGAAACTTCATCAGTTGAGGTGGTTGGGACACGTGTTGCGTATGCCTAACCAGCGACTCCCTCGTCGAGCTTTGTTTTGTAGTGTAGGAATAGGTTGGAAGAAAGCTAGGGGCGGCCAGACCAAAACATGGCAGAAATCCATGAAGTCATTGACTAGTGGACTTAGCCATGTCGGTAATTGTCGACTACCTGGTTGGGGTCCGCGAGATGAAAATAATCGATGGCTAGAGACCTTGAAGGACATGGCTCAAAATCGTTCGCAATGGCGCCAGTGCATTTATTCTTTGTGTTCTCTCAAATCCTAATCTTCTGGATTCTTCAACACCTCTAGTTTTTACTTTCTAAACTTATCTCATTTAATCATACTTCATGAATAATATCTAATCCTAACCTCTCCGATTACTTCTAATACCTTTACTACCTCTTCTACTATTGGATTTGAATTGACAATTATATCTCTGTGTTGATGTGGTATGGCAACATGAACTGATGTACTTACGTACGAAGTTCTACGTTGCATCTGACTGACTGACTGACCTGGAACACAGACACACATTTGAGTGTCCTACAATAGTTGCCTTCCTGGACCTTAGGGCGGCATTTGACTGTGTTGATCGTGAGGTTCTGTGGCAGTGTCTGTCATTGAAAGGTGCCAGAGAAGTACATTAACCTTATACAAGCTCTCTACTCGGACACCACTGGTCAAGTGAGAGCTTATGGCGAACTGTCATCGGAATTGTTTACTTCAAGTGGTGTCCGTCAGGGATGTCCACTCTCTCCATTCCTGTTTAATTTTATCATAGACATGCTCCTAGAAATAACCTTATCCTCGTCTGAATTTTCAGGAGCAGACCTACCAGGAAAATCGCTTGCTGTATTAGAATATGCTGATGACATAGTCACTATTTGGTGAAGACGCTGACAAAATGCAGTCTTCTGACTACCCTAAGCAACAATTCTAGCGTGTTCGAAACGCGGTTTTCTCCCTCGAAATGTAAAATGTTGCTTCAAGATTGGGTTGCGTCGGCACCTGAACTAGTGAAAGGGAGTGAAGTGGTTGAGCCTATCGACCGCTTCACTAATTTGAGAGTTTCATCATCGCTGATAGCCATGTGACTTACGAAATCTCAGCTCGGATTGAGAAGGCTCGATTTGCTTTTACCAATTGCGTCACTTATGGCGAAGACGAGATATCCGTTTGCTGATAAAAGGACGAGTGTACTGCGCAGCTGTTCACTCCGTCCTACTTTACGGATACGAAACATGGGCGGTAAGAGTAGAAGATATTCGTAGGTTACTAGTTTTTGATTATATATGTCTTCGAATCATTGCTCGTGTATCCAGGACCAACTGCGCAAGCAATGCTGTCGTCAGGAAACGAGTACTAGGTAGGGATGGCAAATAAATTGACGAAGTATTCAAACTTCATCAGTTGAGTGATTGAGACATGTATTAGGTATGCCTAACCACCGACCGCCTCGACGAGCTATGTTTTTTGGTGTAGGAGTAGGTTGGGAGAAAGCTAGGGGCGGTCAAACCAAAACGTGGCAGAAATGCATGAAGTCACTGACAAGTGTACTGAGTCATGTTGGTAGGTGTAGGCTACCTGGTTGGAGTCCGCGATACGAAAGTCATCGATGGTTAGAGACTTTGAATGATATGGCTCATAATCGTTCGGAATGGCGCAAGTGCATCCATTCGCTGTGTTCTCTCAAATTTTAATCTTGTGGTTTCGTCAACACCTCTACCTTCGTCTTTCTAAAGTTATGTCACTGAATAATATTTCTTGAATATTATCTCCAAATCCTTATCTCCATTGGCAGTCATTCTTCTGCTATCTCTACCACTATGTGATTTGAATTGACGTTTACGTCTCTGTGGTAATGTGGTAAGGCAACTTGAACTGATGTACTTATGTACGGAGTTGTACGTTGTAACTGACTGACTGAAAAATACCGAGTTGTTGTCCTGGCTTATATTCCCCACTAGTTGCTGCACGAAACATCCCGTTGAAATGCTTTTGCGGCTTACCATACCTAGTGAATTTTGTAAATGAATTACCCTGCATTTATTTAGTACCTAATATAACAACACCCACTACTGGAATACGTTTCATAAATCCAAATGACCAAATTTGTGCCTGTCTTTTTTTGACTCAGTTAATCAAAAGTTGTTTCTTTTTAACTTCAGCCTATGGGAATCTTCGCCTTGTTGGATGAAGAATGCTTCTTCCCCAAGGGAACTGATAAATCCTTTGTTGAGAAACTCATCAAATCTCAGGATAAGCATCAAAAGCTGTGTAAAACAGAGTTTCGATCTAACGCTGATTTTGGTGTTAATCATTACGCCGGTCGAGTTGAATATAATTCAAATCAATGGTTAATGAAAAATATGGATCCGCTCAACGACAGTGTAGTCGCACTGCTTCAAGCATCAAATGATCCATTTGTTCAGGTTTGTTTTCGTTAAGGTCTGGTATCTGAATTCTTTCCGATTTATTTGTTGATTGCCATGTTCAAACAGCGTTTCGTTTGAATGGTCAAATAACATTATTACGGCTCACTACTGTATTCGTCAGCCAACTTAAAAGTCATCTAAATTTTTTATTCGTAGCATGTTATAAAAATCGTTTCTTCAATAGTCATCTTTTCTTTGTGCTTTTTCAATCGTATAAACACTTAATATCATGTAGTTATTAATTTCAAATTAGAATTCATAGTTTTGACGATGGGAAACAACTTAACTTAGTGTAAACTATAGTCAAATTTAGACGTTGGGTAATGTGCATTATCTCTAAACTAAGTGTTTCTTCTAAACCTTTTCTTAACACTGTATGTTTCAACGCAATAAACGTGTAACGAATCAGCGAATATTACCCTTATGGAGACTGATGTTTTTCGAGTTATTCAATACTAAAGTGATCACTGTAATAAAGTAGCTGCTGGGTACGTTTTTGAACGAGTTTTTCTTCCTACTTAATTAAATCGCTGATATCGTAAAGTTGGAAACTAATTTTTCAAAAGTCTAAGTTTATTTCCCTCTTTTGAACGATATGATCCTAGGCCAAGTTTAAAGTTTCATTCATTTGTATACGACATGCTGTAAGCAGCTCTTTCTACGGAGTTTATAAACGGTCTGTAAATGGCTTTACAGTAAAATTTGCGTTGTTACTATGTTTTGATTTTTTTTACAGGCTATGTGGAAAGATGCAGAAATTGTAAGCATGTCAGCCACTACTACGACTGACACTGCTTTCGGTTCTGCTCGTACTGTGAGGAGAGGAATGTTCCGTACTGTAAGTCAACTCTACAAAGATTCACTTTTACGCTTGATGACTGTATTGAAAAACACATCACCCAACTTTGTCCGTTGCATTATTCCAAATCACGAAAAAAAACCTGGTCGAATTGATGGTCCTTTGGTATTGGAACAACTTAGATGTAATGGCGTGCTGGAGGGGATAAGAATTTGTCGTCGTGGCTTCCCATCACGTATCCTCTTCCAGGAATTCAGGCAAAGATATGAAATTTTGACTCCAAATGTTATCCCAAAGGTCGGTACCATTTTAACCAACTATCATATATTCCGTTGTGAGATTATCATTTATTATCTATTACGATTATTCAAAGCCGTTGGTTTTTTACCCACTTCTATAGTTTCAGTTAATATGCTGATTTCAGTAAATGTGGATAATTTTTGAAATGTATAGCAGAAAAGATGCGTTGTATTTCATAACTGAAAATCTATTGCTGTTATTTTCAAACATCATGGTTCGTAAAAGTGCCCCTACGTTTCTAATAATACTTAACTTAGGTCAAGAAGTGTTCCTCATTCGTTTAAATCATACTAAAGGTGTCACAAGTTTTTAAACGATGTATTCATAAGTATAATTCATCTTTCAGTTTTCAGACAGTCTTTGAGTTATATTAGTATTTTTGTATATTGAGTCAGTTTGTACACTAGTCACTTAGTATACCAACTTTCAAAGGACCGCATACAGAAAGCTGGATTGGCTTTTACCAACTTGCGTCACTTATGGCGAAGACGAGATATCCGTTTGCTGATAAAAGGACGAGTGTACTGCGCAGCTGTTCACTCCGTCCTACTTTACGGATACGAAACATGGGCGGTAAGAGTAGAAGATATTCGTAGGTTACTAGTTTTTGATTATATATGTCTTCGAATCATTGCTCGTGTATCCAGGACCAACTGCGCAAGCAATGCTGTCGTCAGGAAACGAGTACTAGGTAGGGATGGCAAATAAATTGACGAAGTATTCAAACTTCATCAGTTGAGTGATTGAGACATGTATTAGGTATGCCTAACCACCGACTGCCTCGACGAGCTATGTTTTTTGGTGTAGGAGTAGGTTGGGAGAAAGCTAGGGGCGGTCAAACCAAAACGTGGCAGAAATGCATGAAGTCACTGACAAGTGTACTGAGTCATGTTGGTAGGTGTAGGCTACCTGGTTGGAGTCCGCGATACGAAAGTCACTGATGGCTAGAGACTTTGTATGACATGATTCAAGATCGTGCAGATGCAGTTGGAGGTGCATGTGCATCGATTTTTGTCTTCTCTCAAATTCTAACCTTCTGAGTTCCCCACCATCTCTATCTTTCTCTTCTCAAATTCATTTCACTAGATTATACTGTTTGAATAGAATTTTCAAACCCTAGTCTTTTTTTCTATAAGCAATGATACTTCTACTATTTCTACCACCATGGGATTTGAATTGACAAATGCATCTCTGTGCTAATGTGGTATGGCAACTTGAACTGATGCACTTATGTATGAAGTTCTACGTTGTAGCTGACTGATTAGCCTCTACACAAAAGTTATTCAAGAACTAATCATTTAAACTTTCAATTAATTTATGAAAAAATTATTGATAAAGTGGTTTATCTCTATCTAATCATAGGGTTTTATGGATGGTCGTAATGCTGTTATCGAGATGTTGAAGGCTCTGGACTTGAGTCCTGATGTCTACTGCATCGGTCATAGTAAAATCTTTTTCAAAGTTGGTGTTCTCGCGCAGTTAGAAGAAGATCGTGATATACATTTGACTAACTCTATCATTAAATTCCAAGCATATGCTCGTGGTTATCTAGCCCGACGGTAAGTTTTTTAGTTGATAACATTCTTAGTTTTTGTCCTTTTGTTTTTCTAATCCTACCGTCGATTCTTTGTTCGAATAGGTTAAATCGTGTTTGTTGGACACAGCGAATCCTAGATTTCTTACATTAAAGACACTAATATGAATATAGAACTTCAAATGTCTAAATAGTTCTTAATTATCAGACCAAGCAGTTATCATTTTGTTGATATTGACACTTATCAAAACCTGCAGTGCAATATTTTGTTTTATTTTTGTGTATGTTGTATTATTCTCTCAAAACAAACAAAAATGTCTTAGTACAATCTCCTGTTCAATATGTTTAATGGTGTCTCTTTTCGTATCCGATATTAACACTTCCTACATATATCTGACTGGTTTATACCTCACGAATATCAACCTTTTTTCTACAGAGCTAAAGAACAACGCATACAGAATATTCAAGCTAGCAAAATAATCCAGAGGAATTGTGATGCTTACCTTAAACTGAGAAATTGGGCTTGGTGGCGTTTGTTTACAAAAGTTCGACCTCTTCTTACTGTTACTCGCCAAGAGGATTTGGTTGCCCTAAAAGAAGAAGAGCTTCGAAAGGTAAGTGTTAAAATTTTGAATATTAGATCATTCTATAGTTTCGTTCTAATATTTTTAAAGCAAAGGTGTATAAGTCATCTTAGAATTCCTTGACAATGATAATAATAATGAATTCGAAGACTAAAAGCAAATTATCGGAATAGAAAAAATTCATTTGTATGTGCCCCTCACAACAGCTGTGCTTCATACCTTTTTCATCATTAACTGTCCTGTTGTTACCTAATTAGACTGAAGTTAGTATTATCTACATCATTTTTTACAATCATCAGAGGCCAGGGCGGTGTTTTATGATATGTTCTCAAAGTACGGGGATTAAATGTCGTATTATTAAATATAGTTATCGTTATTCAACGGACTTATTCATGAAAAGGGATGTGTTAATACGTGACCAGGTCTATTTTATCTGGCAAATCGTTGATTGATTTATTTACCAACTAATTTATCGAATGTAATAAAAATCTCTTTCCATTTATCTTTTTTATATCCTTTTTTATTTTAGATTCGAGAACAGATGGAAAAGGTTGTAAATGATCTTAGTGAATTGCAAAGATCTTATGAAAAGTTAAGTAATGAGAAGGCTCAGCTAAACGCTGAATTACAACAAGAACATGATTCAAACCAAAATTTACAGACGGTAAGTTTTTGTGTATGAATATCAAGTAATATCTTTGATCAATAATTCTTTTATATCCTTAAGACATAAACCGATTATTCATTGAAAATGACTTTTTTATTCATGATATAACATAGGAGCGTGATCGTTTACGCGAAAAATTACAAGCTTTAGAAGAGGACTATATGGAACTTGAAAATAAGGACAACGAAGAAAAATCAAAGTTGCATAATCTGGAAGCTGAACAAAAACGTCTGTTGGAACAGGTAAATGCTTATCATTTTGATTTTATTTATATGTTTACTGCTTAGTGATTTGTATTTTTGTCAATCATATTTGGTATGCTTACATGCAGGTATTTTCTGGTGTGGTTCACATTTTTTCATTATATCATGAACTGGCAACTCGTCATACTATTCCCAATTTCCTATTATACCGAATAAAACCTGTCTTCTGATGTTAATTTTAAAAGTTTCTTTACAATTTCACCATCGTAATAGACTCATTTCTGATAGTTTTACGTATAAGTCCATCTTTAATGTTACCCTACTGTTCGTAGCTGATCTTAGCTGCTACCTTGACATGGTGGTTGAGCTTGCCTATCGCGATGACCCAACGGAACTGTATTGCCTGGGACATATGTTCCTCTAGGCTCTACCATGCCAGGCAGGTCGATTGGAAAACGGTAAGAATAAAGGCAGCAGTTCAAGGTCTGAGGACGTAGTCGTATTGCCGAATGTAAATGGGTGTAACAGTAATGAGGTGCTTCCCTTAGACAACCAGCATCTTCAGCGATGCTGCCTTCTCACAACGTAAAGGACGAGTTACGAAACGTCGACCTTAAGTTGTCACACGTCAACTTACCTAACGGATTTCCTTTCTCCGGCGGTAAGGGTTACCCACTAAGGGCTTCTAAACAAGAGCGGAGCTAACACTTCTCATAAAAGGGCCATGTGTGACCGGCCTGTTGCAGTTACCCTTTGAGCTCTGCTCCAAGACCAACACTAATCCACATTACTTTTCAGGTTCCTCAAGCAACACCGTTCCACTGTGTCCGCAGCCGGGAAGTGACATCCACCCTCCTACCAGTAACAACACACGAGACGAAATCGTTCACAAACAAATCCTTCCTACGCTCACTTGCATCTCTCTTATCTCCACAGCTAACCCTTATATCCCTTTGTTACCTCGCGCCTCTGATGCAAACGTTTCGAGTTCACGAAACGTCCCATTCTCCTGAAACTCCGTTCTAAACTACATCTTGGAGCTTTAACTGTTCGAATTTTGTGTCCATTTGATAACATTCTGTCTGACTCTGAAATCCAGTGCTATCTATGTATTCTGCGTTGCTGAAAAGCGCATACAGGATCCGAGCAGTGATTAATTTTACCTCACCTTGCCCAAATAAAGAACCAACTCGGAATCCCCGCTGCTGCACTCCACGGCCTCACTGGTGTATCTATAGCATACATTCCTGCGGCATAACTAGCTTTCTTAGACTGGATCCCAGTAGATGGTCGCTTGTGCGCTGCCCGATTAAACGGGACAGTGATTACTCGGAAAGATAAGGGCAGTCGCCGTTGCCTCTTCGTCATATTTGCCTGTTGAGTTATGTTGGTAGGTGTAGACTACGTGATTGGTGTCCGCGTGACGAAATTCACCGATGGCTAGACAGACAGACAGATACAACACAGAACTTCGTACATAAGTACATCAGTTCAGTTTGCCATGCCCCATCAGCACAGACGCAACTGTCAGTTCAAATCCAAGAGTCATAGCAATAATAGAAGCATTAGCAGTAATCGAGAAGATTAGGGAGCGAAGATATGATTCAAGAAGTATAATTCAGTAAGATAAATTTAGAAGGAGAAAGGTATAGATTATGAGGAATGCAGAAGCTTAAAGTTTCATAGAACACAAAGAGTGGATGCACCTACGCCATTGCAAATGATTCTGAGCCATGTCGTTCAAGGTCTCTAACCATTGGTGACTTTCGTCTCCGTTTTCTGTCTTCTCTCAAATTCCAATCTTCTGAATTCACCGTCACTTCCATCTGTCTCTTCTCAAATTCATTTCACTAGATTATATTCCTTGAATAGAATCTTCAAACCCTAGTCTTTCCGATAACCAATGATACTTCTACTATTTCTACTACCATGGGATTTGAATTGACAAATGCATCTCTGTGCTAATGTGGTATGGCAACTTGAACTGATGCACGTATGTATGAAGTTCTACGTTGTAGCTAACCAACTAGTACCACTCGTTGGTACGTACATAATTAATCGTTGCCATATTATTTTCAAACTCACTGACCACTATATTTACCTTGATACTACCAGAATAGTTGTATATATATATATATATATATATATATATATATATATATATATATATATACCTGTAATTCATATAACCATACATAAATTTGACCATAAAATATTGTGTTTATTCTAAATCGTATCTTCATGTATTTTATCAATTTGTTTTAATTGTGTATATAAATTTTATCCTGATGTTTTTTTATTCTTATTCAACAGATATCAGATTTATCGGATCAGTTGGAGTTAGAAGAACAACAACGCCAAAAGTTACAAGTTGAAAAGACATCTATCGAACAAAAAGTTTCTCAGCTTAACGATGGCTATGTTAGCATTGAAGACAAATATAATAAACTTGTTAAAGATAAACGGCAATTAGCTGATCGAATAGATTCTTTAACTAGTCAGTTAGCAGAAGAAGAGGAGCGAAGTAAACAATTGACTAAACTTAAAACCAAACATGAAAGTAGTCTTACTGAACTTCAAGATAAACTTATCCGTGAACAAAAATCTCGTCAAGATATTGAAATGGCAAAACGACGACTTGAGACCGAAGCTTCTGAACGTTTAGACCAGGCATCGGAATATTCAAGGATTATGGAGGAACTCCGTGCAACAGTGGCTAAACTCGAGGCAGAAGTTGCTCAATTACAAAATCGATTAGATGAAGAGATTGTTGCTAAGACTATGGCGCAAAAAAGAATTCGGGAATGTGAATCACATATTCAAGAACTCAAAGAAGACTTAGATACTGAAAGAATGGCTCGTGACAAAGCTGATGAGGCTAAAAGAGATCTGACGGAAGAGGTTGAGGCAATGAGATTAGAACTCATTGACAGTGGGACAAACAGCGAAGCACAAACTCAAGCACTCCGAAAATATGAATCTGATCTATCCAGCCTACGCCATCAGCTTGAAGCTCAATCAAAGTATGTATTACTGTTTTCAAGAAACACATAAAACCAGTTATCTGTTTTGATTAGTCTAAATACTTATAGAAGCTGTCCACAGTACTTTGATAAAAGTATAAATCTAAATGCTATTTATAGATAGATAAAAGCAGTTCCCCTGTTACCTTATGCCGAGATTTACAATATCGTGTTCTTCAAAACAGAAGACTACAATTTGGTTTGCACTAAGATAGAATAGCATATTAATTCTTTATTTATCCATTCAGATATATAAGAATCCAAAGTACACTTCCTAATAACCGCGTAATTTATAATTTTTACTCTACATTAAAGTGCAAATAATAATGAAATATTTTGATTATTAGTATTAGGACTGTGGAGATAGTTGAGCTTTATTAAAATCATGAAACGATCTCTTTTAGACCACCGTTATAAACCTGAAAGCACTAGATGCTGACTCGATTCTCGCTTGCAACGTCATGGATGTGCGCTGCTGATGAGTCCCAGATTGGGACGAAGCGTTTGCCCAGTGCTTCCGGGTTTCCAATGATGGTCTAAAATTGATGGGTTCGTGAGTTTTTTGTTTTCATTCAAAGCCTTCCCTAATAAAATATACTCTACGTCTAGTCAGTACATATTTTGTTTAATCTGTATATGCACGAGTGACAATAATTTTCTCATCAATCATAATTGTACACGCCTCCAGTAGTTGTTAATTCAACTATATACACGCCCTATAGTAATAGATATCCACTTTTTATGGCTTCTCTAAGTATGAAGATATTCAGCCATTGAAAGACACTTTACTGAATGTGCACAATTTTATGCAACCTAATTTTCAGTCACCATCTTTTCACCATACTTTATTATATAATTTTTCATTATTGTTTCGTTCATTTGTTCCCCCTGTAATATATTTATTCAGTGCCCATGAAGCTACCATTCAAGATATGCGTAAAGCTCATGCTGTAACGCTCGAAACATTAAACGACCAAATCGAGCAACTAAAAAAAAGTAAAGTTTCCTTAGAAAGATCGAAAGTTCAACAAGATTCAAAAACTGACGAATTACAGAAACAGCTTCAAAGCCTTAAACAAGACAAGTGAGTAAAGAAATACATACTGTAGTCACTGAATATTTGTTGCATTATGATTGCAATATGTGAATCACTTATTATTACTATTATTTTTATACATTTCAAATTTTGTACTCGTCAATCTTGGTAATTTTTCAATAGTTCTAAATTGTTTCTTAAAAACATAGCTCATTATGCTATAACTATCACTTACCCATATCATTTGCGGTGTTGTTTGTTATAGGATTCATGGCCCAAGCTGGTCGATCAAACTCATTCTCTCACTAATTAATATTGGCATAGTTTTTCAAGCATATGCCTCTATATACATAAATAACTGTAAACGATATATTGGTATACTTCCTGTATATAACCCATTGAAGCGACATCCGTCCACAGGTTGATAGATACAGACTACCTTTTTGGAGCGCATATATTTATCGTGACCAATAATTAAAGACGTTAGTTTGATATGTCTCAGGATAAGTCGGTGACAGAGGCATTCACTGTGTCTGTTTTGCAATATTATGTGCCTTTAACTCTGCAAACTCACTGTTTCTTCTCAAATCATATGATGTATTTCTTACCTTTTCTTCTACTAATCTTACCACTTTGATATTCATTCTCATGTGGTTACATAGTATTCTCGATCTATGCATGTCCCAGGTTCTACACTGTCTATGATTGGTTGGTAAATCCCTTAATCTCTTGAAATTAGCCATTATTTGTTCTCACTAACTAGATCTGAATCAGAAAATCTGTTATTTCGTTCGTTCATAAACTAGAAAAACCTAAGATCTTGCGGCAACCTAAAATTCTTACTCCTTAGTTCAATTCTGCAAACGTCTAACTCACGAATTTTCGACTGCTTCATTTTACATCACTATTTTTATTTCTAGAATGGAAATGGACAAACGTCGTCGTCAAATTGAACAGCAATTAAACGAAAGTCTAGTCAAAATTCAAGAAACCGAAATGCAGCGTAATGATTTGGAATCCAGGCTCACTAAAGCATTAAATGAAATCGAAGGATTAAATAATGCAATGGAAGAAACTGAAACTAAATTAAGCAAGGTTACACGCTCTGAAACCTCTGCACAATCAGAGCTCAACCATTTACGCGCACGGTTGGAAGAAGAAACTCAAGCAAAATTAAGCTTACAGTTACAGTTACGTCAAGTAGAGGATGAACGTGAAACAGTAAAAGATTCATTGGATGCTGAGGAACAAGCTAAAACTGCTTTAGAAAAACATATTTTAGCACTTACTACCCAGGTCATTACTCTTCTTTTTTTCATGCTAGTCTTTTTTTAAGACGGTTTAAAATTTGTAACTTTTCTGCCAACGTTAATATGTGATAATTATTCAAATTACGGCCATTCTTATAAAAACTCATCACCTCTGAGTACTTCGTCCCATAAAACGGAAAAGAACATATATTTCATTCAGGAAAAAATCAGTAGAACATTTTAATTTTTAGCGACAGGTCTATTGATTTAATTATATTTATTGTTTCTCTGTATAATTTTTCCCATTCGGACGGTGAGTCTTCATTGTAATAATAATTAGGATTTATAGAGATTTTAGTAAAAACTGTAACTCACTAGTGTAAGTAAAAATTTAAGTAAATTTTATGTTAAAGTTTTTACTTAACCCGAGAAACATCTAATCTTTGAGCAGTAGTTACTACATACAAGAGTTCACACTTTTTACTCACTATCCTGTTTCATATACTTACTTACTTCGTTTCATACAGTTTAAATTTCTTCAAAAAAATTTTATAGATGCAAGATGCGAAGAAAAAAGTGGAAGAAGATACACACCACTTAGAAACTTTGGAAGATGCACGTAAAAAGCTTCAACGTGAATTGGATGATACACGAAATCGTAATGAAGAACTTGTTTCCCAAGTTGAAAAGTTGGAGAAGTCACGCAAGAAATTACAAAGTGAGGTAAGCAGCTACGTTATTTTTCAACTGTAGCACAAATTCATAGCTTTGCAAGAGTGGTGAGTTTAATTGAGACCAGAAGTGATATGCTTACATAGGCGTTATAACTTAAAACCTTGGTGACATTACACGACCGTAGCTGATACCTTGACATGGTGATCGGGCTAGCCTATCTTGATGACCCAACCGAGCTATATTACCTGGAACCTATGTTCTACCATGACAGGCAGGTCGTTTGGAGAACAGTAAGACCAATGACAGCAGCTCAAGGTCTGAGGGCGAAATCGTACTGCTGACTGTAGTGGTCTATGACAGCAGTCAGGCGTTTCCCTCAGACAACCAGCATCTGCAGCAATGCTGCCTTCTCACAACGTAAGGGAGGGGTTACAAAACGTCGACCTTAAATTGTCACACGTCAACTTACCTAACGGATTTCCTTTCTCCGGCGGTAAGGGCTTCTAAACAAGAGCGGATCTAATGATTTAAGAACTTCTCATAAAAAGGCCATGTGTGACCGGTCTGAAGCAGTCGCCCTTTGGGCTCTGCGGTCTCGCTTGCAGGTCTCTAAGACCAACACTAATCTAAATTACTTTTCAGGTTCCGCAAGAAACACCGTTCCACGGTGTCGGCATCCGGTGAGTGACATCCACCCTCAAACCCGTACCAACTAACTAACTTGGTGACATTGAGTAGTGTTATTTCTACATATATTACTGTGATTATTATCTGTATTTAGAGGTACACATTTCATGCTAATAGTATGATACATAATTCTGTAGAGCTAAAAAGTGAACATTTGGTGCCCCATATATTTTAGAAATCTAATTTTTGTTAAGAATCCTTTCAAAATTGTAACCAACAGATCTAGGATTACCAGTTCTGCTGTCAATCAACGGGGCTGCACTTAATTTTATGTAGTTTGTACTATATCGATAAGTCTTTTAAAATGTTAGAAAATTTCTTTTTCCTTCATTGACCACGTAGTCATATATCTCGACTGATAAGTCTGTCTACTATTTTATTAGTAGTCTTTTCAGTTAACTATATGACACTATACTTTCAAACATCTTGATAGTTTTTATTACTTCCCACAAACTAACAAGTGAACTTTATCCATAAAAAGTCACTGCAAAATTAATTTGTAGCTGATTATTAAAACGAGTTTTTCATTATTGCTTTTTTTGCATAAACTTACGGTTCCTAATTGAATTTGCAGTCCCAAGCGACTATTTTGTAATCTTTGCTTGTGATTATTTTTCAGCTTGAAGATATGAATCATGTTATGGCTAGTCAACGATCCGACCAGGCTAATAATGAACGTCGAATCAAGAAATTAGAGTCAACTCACGCAGAAACTGTCAACCAACTTAATAGTTTTCAGGCTCAAAAAGATGCATTTTATCAAGAAATGCTCGAGAAAGATACAAAGTTATTCACACAAAAGAATGAAATGGAGAAGCTTAAAGAACAGTTAGAAGAGTCTGAGCGTCAGCGTTCACTACTCGCTCGTGAATTAGAAGAAATTGGTTCTCATGGTGATGACGCTGGAAAGAGCTTAGTAGGATTAGAACAAGCCAACTATCGTCTAAATGAACGACTGAAAGAAACTCAACAGCAAATAGAAGAGTTGGAAGATGAAATTTCTACATTTACCATGGAGAAACAACGTGCTGAGGTAAGTTTATTAAATCAAAGACAAATCGCTTTATCTTTTCCATAGGATTGAAAGTATGTTTTTATCGTTTCATGATGCTGATCTTTTATCTTCTACTCGATAGGTTCAGATGAATGCTGTTCGCACTCAACTAGAAAGAGAATTGGCGTCTCGTGATGACCTGCTTGAAGAACAAAGACGTCAGTCTCTTAAACGTATCAGAGAACTTGAAACTGAATTGGAAGAAGAACAGAGAGAACGCGCTAGTCATCTTAATGTTCGCAAAAAATTGGAAACTGATCTAGCAGACATTAGTCAACGCCTTGAACTGGCTAATCGTCAAAAAGACGAAGCTGTAAAACAATTGAAAAAGTTCCAAAGTGTTACTGGTGGCATTCAACGTGAACTTGAAGATGCTGCTCGTGCTCGTGATCAGGCCATAGATTCTTCACGAGATTTAGACAAGAAATATCGTATGCTGGATGCAGATAAAGCTAGACTTCAAGAAGATTTGGGCTTAAGTGAAAGAACTTGTCGTAGTCTAAAGAGTGATCTGAATGAAGCTTTGGAGGAATTATCTGCGGCAAATAATGCCAAGTAAGTTACTTATTTGTTCTAAAACTATCGATTTTGTGTGTTGAATTTTAATTTGTATTACGACTAAAATCAATTACCTCATATGTTCTTTAGAACTTTGGCACTAGAAGAAAAGAAGCGTTTAGAAGCTCGTATTACTGCCTTAGAGGATCAACTGGAAGAAATACAAAGTGCCATGGACGCTACTGAAGAACGCCACAAACGAACGTATGGTCAAATGGAACAAGCTCAGACAGATTTAAGTATTGAAAAAAATAATTTCTTGCGTTCTGAGTGTCAGAGAGTCTCTCTTGAAAAACAGGTATGTTCTTTGAGGTTTTTAAATGCTATATTTCATTCAACGAACTAACTTGTAATTTCCCGTGATTTTTGGCTTAATTGTTTGCCTATGGAATTTTAGGTGAAAGAACTACGTGATAGATTAGTTGAAGCCGAAAAGGAAGGAGGACGTCGCGGCAAAGCTCAAATTGCAACATTAGAGGCTCGTTTGACAACCTTAGATGAACAACTAGAAGCAGAAAAATTAGAAAAATTAAACGCAAATAAGAATTTCCGTCGAGCTGAAAAGAAATGCAAAGATCTCATGCTTCAAGTTAGTGTTTTGTTCCTTATCTGTTTGTTACATTACTAGTATTTATCTTTCGAATGATCAACTTATTTATAATACTGTCTTAAACGTTTCACTTTTATATGTCACATATTTATGCACATATATTTATATATGCCCTGTTACTTGATGAGTTATTGAGGTAAATTACTAGTAGTGACTTTGCGAAAACCCCATTAAATGTTTAATTCATGGAGAATTATTTCAGTGATATTAATTTAAATGGTTGTTTATCAACTTTAATGAATCAGTTTGTTTTCTGTTCCCATCATTTTAAAACTTCGTTGTTCTACGCTTTTACTGTATGATCTTTCGACATTGAAATCTGTAAGTGAACCGTTAGCCATACTATAGATTCATCATTGACAACCATGCTAATAGTACCTCCCCATGCAAACTAAGAAGGAAATAACAGATCAATTTGTTTTTTTATAAATTATTTGCTGACTAAACTTCTTATCATCGCCAATATTGTGAATAAACTATTATAGTACATTGATTCACCTAATAACTGTCTAAAGGTAACATCTACTAAAGAAAACTAAATGTTGACAACATTTTAAGCATCAGTTTGATTATTTCACTTCAAAAATTAGTGTAGGCTTATCTTAATTGACATGTATAAACTCTCAATTCATTACAATTATCATAACCATATGATTTTGCAAATAACTATTCAGTGGATGTTGGATATTAGTTACTATTGATTTTGTGCTATTTTCATTAGTGTATGTTAAATACCTTACAATTATTAATCCTTCAATCATTGTTATCAGTATTATTTGCTATGTTTTATATGTGTATACTATTTTTTTGTAATTGTTAAGTAATTTATCAAACTTCGTAGAATGAAGATTTGAAACGATGTGCGGAAGCATTGAAAGAATCTTTTGAAAAAGCGCAATCTTCATGTAAACAAAATAAACGAGAGATAGCAGGTCTTGAAGAAGAGAACGCTCGAATCAATGCGAGATGTCGCCGCCTACAAAGAGATTTAGAAGAAGTGATGGAAGCTAAACGAATCATTGAACGAGATTTACAAAATCTTCGTAAACTTAGCCGGTGCGTTTGTTATTTTCTTTTTGAGTGCATATTTTTACAATTTATTCAATGTAATTCTATTTCATATTTATCGACGTAAATCGGGTGCAAGTTTAAGTATTTCCATGCATTCACTTTCTGTAGTCTTTTTTCTTTATCTTGCTTATTCATGAAAATCCTATTGCTAACTGTAGCCATTCTCTAGGCCACTTTTTACATATCACATATCATTGATCGAGGAACGGTATGTACCACAGTGGTGTATCGTTGTGTGCGTAGTATTGCATGTTGGATGAAAGCTATTAAGAAACTACTTTACTTCAGTTTCTGATATACTTGTAGATTAGAGACCCCAGAGTAAGTTTTGTGATGGTGGAAAAAATGTTTAGCTTAGCTGAGAGATTGTGGTGGAGTTCCGTTCTCTGAGCTGAATGATTTGGTTGCGAACATACTACAAACTACATCGTTCACAACCCACTAAATGTGAATCTCAAATAATATGTTGTTCAGAAGAACAGTGATAGCTTCACAACCATAACATCCAGCTCAGAGAACGAAACCCCACCGCAGTAAGTTTCACCACCCTTGGACTTGTAAAATCACTGATGACCTGCGTAACCACGTGAAAATCATTCCTGTACTTTGGTAGTTTCTTACACTACAGAGTATTGTATATGAAATAACCTTCATATTACTTTTTACACGATAGTGTTCTGTCTCACTCCATATAAGCCAAGTCATTAACTATAGTTTTGTGCTAAAACTAATTTTTCTACAATTCGGAATGCTAAAAGAATTTTATTTTTGATATCGCTTTTCTTTATTTATTATCGCCTGGCTAACCTCATTTTATTTTTCTTTTATTTCAACTGTTCACCTGTTTCACTATGATGGTGGTGTTGGTGTTTCCCTTTAAATGTTAACATGTGTGTGTGCTTACACGATACTCCATTTTATATGCTTATGTCGGCTTGCCTCACGATGAACATAATCACTGTCGTGTGTTGTATTTCGTCCTAATTGTCGTTTTTAATTTCTGTTCATTATCGTTTTGATTATGCTTTTTTTCAGACCATCTCGTGTTTATGAACTTTCTATTCCTGAGACTGTTATATCATCTCCAAATGGTTCACATGTTTCAGATGATGAGTGATAATCATCTGGGATTTTTGCTATCATTACATATATATATATATATATATATATATATTCTTCTTTTTTTTAACATAACTATTTGCAGTAAATATATATATATATATATGAAATAATGATGGATATGCTGTCCGTGTAGTACTCGGTCACCGGTGCTGCTTATATTATATCTATCTAAAAATCTATTATTAATTTTTTTTTTACAAATCTGCCCATTTTCCCCACTCCATTGTTTGTCGTTTGTTTCTGCTAAGATAATTATTGAAAGCTTGACAGGCAATAATCTGGATTTTATTTTCTACTAGAAGCTTTTTTTTATATATTGACATATATACTTGTGACCAACCAATTATTCTGATGAACAAATTGAATCTATTCAATTTTAGCGTCAATATTTTTTTTCTCAATGCTATCAAATGAAACATTGTTCACTGCATGTAACCAATACAAAAACAAATACATTATTGATATGGTGTACTATTTTATTCTTTCATTCGAATGAATAAAAAAAACACACATAAAAGAGCCATTATCCATTTCTACTTGATGTGTTGTTGTTATTGTTGTTGTTTTCTTTTTTTACTGTTAACAATTCGATTGTTCATGCCTATCCAGATTATCATATTCTGTCAACACAATATCAACTGTATTATTCACGTATAATGTTTTTATGGCTGAAAATTTTTCTTATATTTTAATTCGCAAATAAACAACTGAACTTTATTATGAATTGCAGTTTCATGCTTGTTAATCACATCGTCTTCCTCTATTAACTGTATTATTATTATTATTAATACAAAAAGCTTATCCTTTTCTGCTTATTTGTTTCAGGTTTAAAATTTTCCTCTTTTATCATCGATTTTTAGTTCACATACATTTTTAATGCTTATTGTATCAATAAAGTACGAGTGAAGCAAATGTTTTTTGAAGAAAAATTAAATTTACTAGATTTGTGTTTTTGCATTAGAAAAAAAATGGAAGAGGGGGATGTTTGTGCGGTAGTAAGTAAATAGCATTACTTTCATACCATGATCAACGTGTAAAGCTCTTAAGCATCTTTGTTATGAAGCCTACTAGTTTTCATCTGTTCGAGAATTCGTATTAGAAAAAAAACGCCTCTCTCGAGTTGAATATATTGTTTGGTGGTTTTATAGGATTTTTTGGTGTCAGCTCAATTCCACATACATAAATGACGTCTCATTAAGGTGCTTTCTTCTAGTAATCAAGTTCCATTGACGTTTTGTGTTTTTGTTTTACTGTTGTTATGTTGTCTTTTTGTGCTTTTTACTTTTCTTTGGTGATTGGTATTCCATTTTTTGCTTAATTCATATAGAAAAACGGATTGCATGATATTTTTTTCTCTCTGTGTGTATGTGTAGTATACAAATTATTCGTCATTATCAACGTAAAAATTTGAATTTTTCTTGTGTTCTAGTGTTTATTGTTATTGTTGTTGCAGTTCCATGTTTGTATTGACAATTATTCAACTTACGTTTTAATTATTGTTATGTTCTTCATTTCTCCTATTATAGATGTGCACCTCGTCCTAATCGTCAGTTGCCAGCGGTACTTTCCACACGTTCATCTGATTCTACTCTGGATGAAAACAATTCAATAAATGAGTTGGATTCTATGACCAGTGATTTTGGTAGCAGTGGACCAGCTGTTACCCATTCTAATAATAACAGTAATGCTTCTACACCTTCGGCTAATGAAAAATGAACGGTTTTTTTTACTATTGTCTCCAAACTGACATAATTATCACTGTGAAAGGCTTCTTTTCCTTTTCTATTTTTAGCCTATTCTGGGCTGTAACACGATTTGCACTAACAGTTATATGTACTATCTTTGCTGTACTGTTACTGTGCCTGGTGTATTTTGGTTTTTGTCACTATGTTACTTTTTGCTAATTCAACCTCAGTTTACTTGCCGTCTAAAGATATATACTTATAAGTTGTTTTAATTCTCTACTAATTCACGCTACGAGTACTGTTGTTATGACGATTATAAATGCTTTATGGGTCGGAAGAATTTTCATTCCTTTGCACCAAGGCGCGTCACTGAAACTCCGAACCTCCGGTTTTTTTTAAAGAAATCTTTTTCTAACTTCGCTGGTTTTTTAATGATTCAGACTGAATTTTCAAAACAACATCTTTTCCCTTTGCTCCATATGTAAACCAATTTCTAAACTAGCAACATAATTATTATTGTCTGTTTAGTTCTGGTTTACATTTCGGACCTTATCAGCAGTCATATAAATCACTCTGAAGTATGACACTCACTACTTTCCTTAAGATATGTTCTCTTTTTGTGAGAGTTTTTGAAATCTATGCCGCTTGCCTGCTTTCTACGCAAAAAACTAATTTAAATTTGATATAATGTTTTCCATCTTGAGATGCCTTTCTTTTTAAAAATTATACTTTTAAAACATACATTACTTTTTCTTGTATTCGGCCGTACGTGTAAATCTGAACGTGATCTTAAGTTCTCATTAACCGTGAGTTATTTACAGAGTATATTTAAGATCTGTTACATAGTGCTGTATACCGTCATTAGAAAAAGTATGTGGTAACAACCGACGCCTCGCTAAATTAGATAGCCTCATTCCCTAGTTTCCTGTACCACATCTCAACAACCAACTGTTCACAATCGTCTTGAGTCATTCAGCCCGCAGTATTATGACTGGCCTTTCATTTCGTAAGCGTAGTTGAGAGTTCATTTATGTATACAGTTAGTAAAAGTACAGGAATGAGTTGTTAGGCATGCAGGAGAAATTAACCCACTTTGTATCCTTATTTCACTCAACCTACCGGTAGGAAATGTAGAACAGATTGACAACTCAACGATTGTAAACCTCATTCCCGACTGTTTTGTATCATATGGAGGTTTCTGTCCTGGTTTACAAAATCGTCCTATAGTAAGAAGGCTAGTCACTTTGTTTATTTACTGATGTGATAGCCTGCTAATCTTAAACTTTCTATCTTGATAAATGCAACACACCTTGAAAGCAAGAGTAATCAAACTTCATACCTGAATGAATCGGAAATTTTTGTATTTCGGGTTGTGCTTATTAGCCAAGGTGGCGAGACTATAATTTGTGGACGAACCAGTCAGCGTTTAGTAGGCGATTTCAAAGTCACAGCGCTTATTTCAGCATCCGATTCACACGTATAATCATTTTTCAGCGTTTAGAAGCCATGAGGTTAGAATCCAATAAACATACGACCTCCTCGTAAAGTAGTCGCCATTTTTTCTACAAAAGATCGTTGGACTACCAACAGTCACAACGAACTTCCAATATCCTGAATTAGACTAGCAGCACCTGGATAGTTCCTTTCAAACGACGGCATCTCAAAATAGAGAAAGTATGCGGAAATGAGTAAACGTATTGTAACGTAGCCAATCGTATTAGTTAAGGTTAGAAAATAGAATAAACTGATTTCGATAGTCACATATGAGTTTGTGTGCTATGAATGAATTAGCAATATATTTCCATTAGGTAATTCCATGACTATAGCTGCTACCTTGACGTGGTAGTCGAGCTTGCCTATCTTGATGACCCAGCTGAGCTGTATTGTTGGGAACATATGTTCCTGTACCTTCTACCATGCCAGGTAGGTCGGTCGAAGAACGATGAGATTAAAAGCAGCTAACCAAGGTCTGAGGGCGAAATCGTACTGCTGACTGTAGTGGTCTATGACAGCAGTCAGGCGTTTCCCTCAGACAACCAGCATCTGCAGCAATGCTGCCTTCTCACAACGTAAGGGAGGGGTTACAAAACGTCGACCTTAAATTGTCACACGTCAACTTACCTAACGGATTTCCTTTCTCCGGCGGTAAGGGCTTCTAAACAAGAGCGGATCTAATGATTTAAGAACTTCTCATAAAAAGGCCATGTGTGACCGGTCTGAAGCAGTCGCCCTTTGGGCTCTGCGGTCTCGCTTGCAGGTCTCTAAGACCAACACTAATCTAAATTACTTTTCAGGTTCCGCAAGAAACACCGTTCCACGGTGTCGGCATCCGGTGAGTGACATCCACCCTCAAACCCGTACCAACTAACTAACTTGGTGACATTGAGTAGTGTTATTTCTACATATATTACTGTGATTATTATCTGTATTTAGAGGTACACATTTCATGCTAATAGTATGATACATAATTCTGTAGAGCTAAAAAGTGAACATTTGGTGCCCCATATATTTTAGAAATCTAATTTTTGTTAAGAATCCTTTCAAAATTGTAACCAACAGATCTAGGATTACCAGTTCTGCTGTCAATCAACGGGGCTGCACTTAATTTTATGTAGTTTGTACTATATCGATAAGTCTTTTAAAATGTTAGAAAATTTCTTTCCTTCACTGACCACTCGGACTCTAAAGTTTCACGCTTAACGTTGACTCACGTTGGGTCATCTCCGGTGGTAAAGCCATTTGAATATCGAAGATAAACATTCAGACTTTTCCAATAAAGAGGCCGTGTCGCCGGCCTCAAGCAGTGATCCCTTGGGCTCTGCACTCACGCTCCTACGTCGTTAAGTCAAACACTAGTCCAACATCTTCAGCTTTCGAATGAGTTACCTCCAAGGTTTATGCAGTAGGAAAATAACTCCCTCCCTCATGCTCGTGAAAGCCCACAAGACCAAATAAGTCAATCAAATCATTCGTACTCCTCTTAATAACTCTCTGATCTCCATGATTAACTCTTCTTTCGCTCCTTTGCTACCTCACACTACTAATGCGAACTATTCGAGTTCACAGGATGTTATTCCTGGTACCCCGAAGCACTGCTCTAACCTACTTGTTGAAGCTTTAAATGTTCGAACCTTGTGCCAAATACAACAGGCTTCCTTAACTAGGACTCTGCAATCCCGTGTCATAGATGTATGCTGCGTCGCTGAAACGCGCATACAGGATCCGAGTGAAATCATTCATTTGACCTCACCATGTCAAAATAAAGAACTATCTCGCCTCGCTACTGCTTCCCATGGCCTCACCAGGTTAGGTATAGCATTGATTCCTAGGGCAGAACTAGCACTCCAAGAGTGGATCCCAGTAGACAGTCGCTTGTGCACTGTCCAACTAAACGGGACAGTGATTACTAGGAAAGATAAGGACACTCATCGTTGCTTCTGTCTATACTACCACTAACTGCAGCTCAGATGAGTTTTACAGGAAGCTTTCGGACCTCCTTCAAGACGTTAGGCGCTGTGATATAGTAATAGCAGCTGGTGAGTTTATTGCTCAAGTAGGTAGACGAAATGAAACTGGAAGACACCTAGGTGAATCTTATGGTGTCATGGCTGATCGAACAGACGATGACGAACGTCTTCTGTAGATATGCTCAAATAACCGCCCATTTCTAGCCAAAACTAACATTAAGCACAAGGAAAAACACATTTAGACATGGCGACCCCAAAATCAACTCAACGATTAACCCAACTAGACCACATCTCAGTCAGTCACTTATGGAGAGGTTCGATAGTAGACAACTCATTTCAGAGCACATGTTTACATGCATATCATCCTCTAGTGTGAGCGCGCATTTTTTTGCGACTTACCAGAAGTAGGAAAGGCGCGTGGAAACCTCTTAGGGTTCTACTTAATGATAGGATAGCTAAGAACATATTTTAGGAGCAACTAGAGAAACAATTAGGCGGCCCCGTAAGTGATTCCTGTTCCGAGGAAGCTTGGAATAATATCCAAAAAGCTGTGGAAATAGAAGTGATATCTGCTGGTAGGGTAAACCATAAGGTTGGAGAGGAGCACTGGATATCACTTTACTTACGCCTGTCACCACCAGTTATTCATAAACTGCCGATCAGTATTCTCCAACCTACTCTGTCCTGGGATTCCCTTGTTCATTCTTCTCATGTTCGTCTCCGTTTCTTGGTGTAATATGTTCATTGGCCCTCTTTTTCTTCGACCTTGAGGGTTCCAGGTGATGTCTCGTCTTGTAAATCAGTTGTCTGTTTTCTGCAGTATGTGTCCTATCCACTTCCAGCGCTTCTTCCTGATTTCTTCCTCTACTGGATTCTGGTTTGTTGTTGATGTTGTCTGGCCAACGGATTCGAAGTTGCGTAGACAGTTGTTAATAAATACTTGTATCTTCGGGATGATGACAGGTAGTTCTACAAGTTTCCGCCCCATACATTGAACTGTCTTGACATTTTTATTGAGGATTGTGACTTTGGTGTTTGTTGACAGTTCTTTTGAGTTCCAGGTGTTCGTAAAGTATAGAAATGCAATCCCTTGTTTCCTGATTTGTGCCTTCACATCTGTACCAACTCCGTCTTGCTCATTAATGGTGCTGCCCAGATATGTATGTCATCTCCATCAATAATAATTTGTTTGGGGCATGTTATGTTGTATCGCAGAATCCTGCTTTTCCCTTTACGTATGTTAAGACCTGCTGCTGCTACATTTGTCGTCTTCTTTTGCATTTGTTTTTGCGTGTGCGATAACAGAGCTAGGTGATCTGCGAAGTTCAGCTACATCCTAGCTGTCCACTGTATCCCATGCTTCCCTCCAGATGCTGAAATCTCCATAATCCAGTCGATCACCAGCAGTAAGAGAAAGGGTGAGAGTAAGCAACTTTGCCTGACACCGGTTTTCACCGCGAGCAAGTCTGTCAGCTTTACTCAGTTTTATTTACTATACATCCTTAAATTACCTGTAGTTATTCAGTAATACTAATTCTTTCAACTTCGTACCAATTATCTCCAGTCACTCGACATTAGTCGACGTTTCATTGAATAAATAATTATAAATTACTTCCAACAAACTTTACATCGTACTGACGCATGCATATATCAACTCAGCTAATGCTCCAAGTAAATGGATCAAACACTGATCTGTGACCAGTGTCCCTGCTTCTTTTATTGTTTTTAAAAAATCGAATTATATCAGTCTCTAGCTGTTATGTAGTCAATAATCTAAGTGACTTCAAGTACTTTTTATATATTCATATGTATTACTTTTTCAGTTTTTCTCGGCTCATGTAACCTGATAGATATAATAGTTGAGTAAGATTCTGACCTAGACATTTTTTCCAGAATCAATCCAATAGCTGCCTTATTGAACAGAATCTGACAAACAACGGTTGATTATCTTACATGTTAAATTCACATAATCTATCTTACTTCAATTGATTTATTTCACATTGAGATTACTTTAAAAAATGATGAAATAAATCAATAATTTGGTTTTTCATCCACATAAACTCGTTTCGCTAATAAAATTGATAAAAGAATCTTAGTGGATATCATAGTTTGCCAATAAGAAATTATTTCTTAAACATTTGTAATGCATTAACACAAACTACTTCTGAATAGTGACGTTAAAGTTAAACATTTCATTGACTTTTTCTGTTCAGTTTTGTTTTGATAAATCACTTACAATTATGTCTATGGTGTACTTGATTCGGAT